ATATATGCAGTGTATTATTTGTTGAAACTGTACTTTCGATTTGATTTGAAACTGTCTCATTGCTATATGTTTATCAATAAAACTTTGAAAAGAAAAGAAAAATAAATTAAAAAGATAAACTTTCTCTGGAACTCCAACTCTTTTCCAAAATTGCCAAGCTAGCACTCTTGTTCAATTCTTAAATCACCTTAAAATCATTTTTGTATTCAGTATTTTTGTTTTATAAATCTTAATGAAAAAAACTTTATAAATTATGGTTATTTTATAGAAATTAATTCTTGTCATACTTTACAGATATTAAGGCTCAGAGGAAAAAACAAAATGTGTTTTAAGTGGAGCAGTTTTGCTCTGAGCTCTGTTGATGTAAAGTCTCAATAATTTTTTTTTAAAGCTATTTCAAGGGAACAAAGATTATCACCAGGATGTGCGTAATAACTTTTTGCCACCAATTATTGCGCGTTTTATTAGAGTGCACCCTACCCAGTGGCAGCAGAAAATTGCCATGAAAGTGGAGCTGCTTGGATGTCAGTATATTCCTAAAGGTAAAAAGACAATGTGCTTAACGTGTTACTTTTAATGAATTAATTTTTAAACAGTTCTAAAAATTGACATATGATAATTGTTTATATTGGTACTCTTAGAAAATACATTTATGTGACATTTCAGTCCATGCATACAATGTGTAATGATCAGATCAAGTTAGTTACAAAAGTGTCACCTCAGACATAGATTAATTCTTTGTGTTGAACATTCAGAAATCCTTCTTGGGGCCGGGGAGATGGCTCAGTGGAATAAGCGCTTCTATGGCAAGCGCAAGTTCAATCCCCGGTTCTGCAAAAAAAAAGAAAAATCCTTCTTCCTGAGGAGTTAAATGGCTTTTGCTGTTCTTGGGGAAAGTAGTAAAATGTAAATGCTTTTGTGTTCAGTTATAGTATTTTTAGGAATTTTCAAAAGTAATTGTCATATTAAAAAGTTGCATATCTCAATGATTACCAGAATTGCAAGTAAAAGAAGTCACATCATTCATGTGAGCTAATATATTGATACACCTTTTCAAATATAGCTTCAGTTTCAATAAATTTTAATCACGTCTCATGTACTATAAGCACTGAAGGTTAAAACCATCACTGAGAGGGCCGGTGAGATGGCTCAGTAGAATAAGTGCTTCCCTGGCAAGTGCAAAGGCCTGAGTTCAACCCCTGGTTCCACCAAAAATAAAAAATAAATAAAAAATAAAACCATCACTGAGATCTAAGTACTTCTCACTTTAAATTAACTAAAAGGGAATAACTCCTTGCAACATTTTACTGTACTTTTATGTTATTTTACTCCTGTGTCTCACATGTACTTCATTCTCGATAATAACGACATTAATAAAGTAATATGTCAAATTGTGACACCTGTCTGGTGTTAATTTCATCATCATTCTGCTCCTTAGTATTTTGTGTAAGATCATTTTTAGATGATTTAATTATTTAAAATCTGAAAAATTTGGTATATTTATATGCTTAACATAGAATATATATCAAAATATATCAAAAATATACTTTTGATCTATTCTCTGAGGTTTAAAATTACTCTGCAAGATTGAATACTTTATGAAATGTTAAAGATATTTAATATTACTGTATTATTTAGCTATCATTTATTAAAAACAAAATTTTAAATTTTCTGAACCTTTTTTCAAGGTCGTCCTCCAAAACTTACTCAACCTCCACCTGCTCAGAACAGCAATGACATCAAAAACACCACAGCCCCTCCCAAAGTAGCCAAAGGTATGCCTGCTTCTCATGTGAGAATGTGATGGTGCCTGAATTTGTGCTATAATGGGTATTTAAATGTTAAATAAATTTATCTTAATCAAGGTGTAGATAAAAAAATTATTTTTAACTTTTTTCAAGGTCGTGCCCCAAAATATACTCAACCTTTACAACCTCGCAGTAGTAATGAATTTCCTGTACACACAGAGCAAACAACTGTCACTCCTGATGTCAAGAACACAACCATAACTCCAAATGTAGCCAAAGGTATGCAGGGGCACAAATGCTTTGTACATTGTAGTGTGTGTTTATAACATGTTTTCAAGACTGTTTCCAGCTTATGTCCCTGGTTTCTTTCCCTCCAAATGTACTTTTAAAAATTTAATTTCCCATTTTAGAGAAAACACTGGCTGCCCTGATCTGTGTTCTATTCTGCGACACCACGGGAAAGTGCTATTGAAAGATGGCTGCTGTTTTCAGCCCTTCTGTTTGCAATTTTTCCGTTCAGCTTAACCTATTAAGTGTTAGACTTAGACTTATTGTTTGTGCAAATCACTAAAACCAAGCACTTTTTTGCCTTAGAGATATATTACTTTACTAGATAAGGAACTTGGTGGCAAAGAGGGAAAAACAGAAGCAAAACTGTTGGGTAAAACTTAGTATTTTCTAACCAAGTACTTTAACATATTCATAAAAAAATTTTAATCTGTTTTCCTTTTTAAATTGTTTTCAAATTGTGCAAAATTATACTTTCAAATTGTGTTTTCAATGAGAAAGGTGTTCAAATGTGCATTGCATGGTTAAAACACATAAAATATAGTTCTTTTTACTAGTTGTTTAAAAAAAACAAAATTTCAGCTAAAATTCAGGGAGAAAACTGTTACAGTGGAAGTAGTACGAGCGTGGACAGATAAAAGGCATGCTGATTTTCAGGAAAAGCATAGGGAAGTGGGCACAATTCATGGAGTAAGTTGTGCCATGCAGCCCTTGAATCATTCTTACTTTCTCAAGCTGGCCTAGATTCAGATGATTTCCTTCAGCAGTCCACATGCCAGTGTCTTTCCTATCATTTGAGATATTTTAACAAAGATGACTTTCATTCTTACACTTCAGGAAATGCTAGCTACAAGGAGAAATCTCAGTACATCCCAAAGATCTTCCAGTTTGTAGAAGGCAGCTGTGTTTAGGCAAAATCCCAGGCCACATGCCTAAATGCAGGAAGAGTCACTTTAAGTATTGTTTCATCCAGAACTTGATTAAAGAATATCAGAATCTCAGGGTTAAATCTTTTTTCTGATGTAGGATCTTTTAAAAGAAACAACAGAATGGGCTGGTTTTCTCATTTGAAGCCCTCCTGCTTTTTTTTCTTTAAAATGATGATGCATGAATTTATTACTTTTTAGAACTTAACAGGTACTGTAAGGTCTCTGATTCAGTCACACCACATTCATCTAAACCTCACTGTCCTCTCCGGTTTACATATTTTAGAAAAGTACACGTTTACTTTTCTGATTTGAGTCTGTCCTTGACCGAGTCATAATTCTTGTTTTATGCACTTCACGTTCTTTATTTTTACATCCAGACCAAAGTCGTGTCATGGTCTGATGTGTGCCGGTGATCTTTCAGATTTCACTAATGAACTTTTCTTTGTTCTCAACTGAAACTATTTTTAACATTCCCTTATTTTCCCAAACATTTGACTGGTAGATCTTTACCCACTCTGTTACTTCTCCAGCTTCTCTAAAAAGTACAAACCACTGGAGGGAATTTCTTTGTTAAGTCAAGAGACTTAGTTGCATCTATTGTTCTCTGCTTTGATCAAGGGGTTCCTTGTGCTACCCAAAGGTAATTGTTTTGTCTGTGTCCTAGCACCCATCCATTGGCTCCTCAGAGCTCTCATTACTGCTTGTGCTGTCCCTCCCCTCTGCCATCACCCCCCACCCCTTGGATACAGTGTGAAAGGAGTAAAGAAGATGCTGCAGTTAGATTCACTGCAGTATCTGGGGGATGGCCCCAAGTGAATATCAGCAGTGGCCACTGTTCTCATCTTCTAGGCTAGGAGGGGACTGAGGGATGAAGGAAGAAACTAACACTGCAGGGAATCCTTGGTCATTTCACTTTTTGTACAAGGGCCCAGGATTCTGTTTAAGTTCTCTAGTATTTGTTTCTGACCTATTAATAAACATTTTATTGGTCAGCTTTCTTGTGCTTAAGACAATTGCTGTTATGTTACAACACAATTTTCAAGCGCTAAATTATATTTTACCCGTAGGAAGACAGCATGATTCACTTATTCCCTGTCATCATTGGGTATTCACATTATTTCCAATTTTTTATTCTTAAGCAGAAATAGCAATGAGCAACTTTGAATGTCTTTTTCCTCATGAGTTCTTGATTTTGTCCTAAGAGTAAATTGTAGCTGTACAAGTATCAATTCTCATGTTTGTGTACATATTCCCCATAATGCCAATCAGAAACATAGTTTATATTTATATTTTTAAAAAATACCCATTTCCTGGTATCTGCTTCAATAATTAGTTGTTCTTTTAAATATTTGCCAAGTTGATAATCAAAAATATGCTTTTGTTCTTGTTTTAACTTCTATTTATTGGTTACTAATGAAGCTAATATGTTTAATGCTTACTTATATTTTTTAATGTATTGCTAATTGATCACTGATTTTTTTCTATTGTTTGCATTTGGCTTATGGAGTCCTATATTAATTCTTTATATTATTACATATGCATAAAATTCACTTTCCCTGCCTATTGTTTGTCTTTCAGTTTTATTTTGGTGATTTAAAACTTAATGAAAATTTTAAACGTAAATGTAAAGATGTGTTAAATTGTCTGCATTTGCTAACTCAGGCCCTGTCTTGTTTCATAAATGATAGATAAGCTATTTGTTGATACAGGAAATGTTAAACAATGATACAACTAATCTTTTTCAGTCTTTTTCCTCATGATTTCTGCTTTTTGTGTTGATGTGGTTTAAGTTTTTAAAAATTTTATGCCTTTGATGTTAATGAGGTTTTTACATTTTTTTTAATTTTTATAATTTTAGATGTAGCATTGGCTGCTGTTCTTGTCCCTGTGCTAGTCATGGTCCTCACTACTCTTATCCTAATATTAGTATGTGCTTGGCACTGGAGAAACAGGTTAGTACAGAGGTAGTTCACCTCGCTGGTCCTGGGGTCAGAGGGTGCATTCCAATGTGAAATAGAAAGTAAATGTAGCGATGAACTACGTTCAGTACAGTTTACCCATTTGAGAATAAGAGTCCTTAGAATAAAAATTATTTATATTTATTTATTCCCATTAAAAACTACTATTCAATTCCCAGTTTATTTAGTACCTTTATAATATTAGATTATGCATTATATATTGAGAGCTGTGCAATAATATGATCAATGTCTAATAGGTATTTAGTAATTTTTACTGAAGAGACAAATACATTTCTCCAAAATGATGAGTAAGATTTTCTGACACAAAATAAGGAATCATCCTGTGGTTTAGTGAATTATACATAAAGCAGTGAACAGAAGCATTCAGATTTATTTGAAGCCTTTTCCTTACAAAAGGGGAATCCTCATATTTCACCTAAAGGAATTGGGGTTGCCTAGATAGAGGAAGGTAGACAGATGTCTTAGACTATTGGGGTGTTAGAAGGCGATAACATACATGTGGAGAAATCTAAACAACAAACCTTGATTTCTCACAGTTCTCAAGACTGAGGCATTGGCAATTCACTGAGTAGTAGCAGCAGTAGAAATAATAGTCTGGGCCTGAATAGGGACTGGCTTTCTGGAAGCCTTTATTCTGTGGACGGGATAATCACTGAGTTTTAAGCACACAGAATTGTTGAAAGATAGTTCAGGATTTTGAAGGGTGAATTGGATTAACTGAAGAAGAAGAAAGAGGGGCTGGGGAAATAGCTCAGTAAAAGGGCCTGAGTTCAATAAAAAGTATATAAGAAGAAGAAAAATGAGTTGGGAAACTAGTCTGGCAGAAACATGACACTAGCTCTGGGAAGGTGAGAAGAGATGGAGGGGAGATGTTTCAAAACAGCGTGAAAAGGATGTGTTTTCGTTGTCTGCCAAAGAAGAAAGGATCTGGGGTGCTCTGGCATTTCTGGCTTGTTCAGTTAGAGCATTAGTGATGTCATAATTTTGAGATAACAGCAGGAGGGACAAGTTTGGAAGAGAAAGAGGATGGTTTTATTCACCCAATCATTCAACAGTATCTGAATATTTAGTTGCTGCTGTGCCAAGTTGTGAGCCATGTGCAGAGGAGTAAACCTCCAAGCTTAGAGATGAAGAAAGTATACACAGCAGAGAACTGTCCGCTTTGGCATGCGACACACAATGGGTCACAGCTAGTGAAGCAGATGGATCTCAGATTTCTGAGACTGAGCAGGGAGCTGGTCAGTATGAGGACAAGGAAGAAGGCAAGAGAAGGAAAGGGCTTCGGAAAGGGGCAGAAGGGAAAGTGTGTGTGGAGTGTTGAGGGAATTGCACAATAAAAGTAAGGATGAGGCCAGCCATGTAACTTGATCAAGGTCACTGGCTGTTAAGTAGCAGGGTAGTTTCAGACCAGGCTTCCCAGCTTATGCTCTTATCCACAGCTGCTATGAAGGTATAATAAATAAATCAATAAATATAACTGATTTGGGTGAAAACAGGTACAAGAGTAAGGATAGGGGAGAACAGGTTTTGAGAGGGAGGCAGGAGTTAGGTTCTGAAATCAATTTGGCATGGTCTTTAAAGAACTCTTGAATATTCATTCAGATTCCCAAAAGGAGTTGAAATCCGTACCTAGTATTCAGGAGAAGAGGGCTGAGCTGGAGAACTGGACCAGGAATGAAATTGAAATTGCTCATTATTAGCTTGTCAACAAAGAATAAAGGAACAGGTGCTATCAATATGCTGTAGAAAATTGGAAGGAGAAATAATACAAACAGCTGCAACTTACTGAATCCTTACGTCACACCAACCACTGTTCTAAGCACTTACATGTAATGAATAAACAACGTTTGCACTTGAGAATTAATATGTAAAATCCTTTGTACTCAACCTGTAATATTCAGACCATTAATTTTTGTCCTAGCTATATAGACTATAACTTTCATTTTTAAAAACATCAATTTTTAAGTCTTAGCATAACTAGAACAGTGATCCTCAACTTTTTCAGGTATCACTTTGGTAGAAGACAGATTTTTCACAGATGGGGAAAAGGGGACTAGTTTCCAGATGATCCTAATGAGGCAGAGCTCAGGCATCAGTACCCTTTGCTCACTTACCTGCCAGGTCGCTGCCTCTTGTGCAGCCCTGTGGGTACCAGGCTGTCCTGGTCCAGGGCTTGGGCCCATGGGCTGAACTAGAGGGTTTTCAGGGGAGGAAATTACTTAGTAAGCCATCGTATTTTATCATTTCTTTTCCATTCCAGTTTTTATTACCAGCTATAACACCTCCCATCTCTTCCACAAATTTGTTTATTCTTTATTTTAAAATAATGAAATAATTTAAATACAGTCATGCTTTAAGATTAGGTTTTTACTATCAATAATAAAAATGTAGCCTTACATTAGAAGTGAATGTTTTCCACTAGGAAAAACAAGGGGCTTGAGCTCTTTGTAAAAGCTAAATTTATGATCTTGAGGAGATAGTACAGCTGCCTTTCCCTCACTTGTAGACAAGAATCATTTGTAGTGCTTGCTCCCACAGTATGTATGCTAGAAAAGAATAATTTCTGCTTTCTCACAGCCTGGAAAGTCATAATTGTAATTAGATTTACACAACTAAATCAGAAAGTGTTCTTTCACTTGCTTTTTGGGGGGAGGGTAAAGCAGCTTAGCAATAATTCTTAACAGAGGGAGATTTCTCCTGGGGAGAACAAATTAGAATTCTTATCAGTGGATCTGGAAATCTTTTTTTCTTGTAATTGGTGGCTCTTAACACTCCAGAGATTGCTTATGTGATGCCTGCCAGGCACTGAAAACCGTTTGCTTCTCTCTGCCACTTGTCACTGTTAGTGATGGCATTAATTTACACTGAAATATGAAGGGAATGACAGTGGTGCAGTTAAGAGTATGAGGCACTTCCAGCTGTTTTTGGGCGAAGGACTGTAGAAAAAAAGCAGAAAGTTAGGAAAAATAGCAAAATAGAAAACCAGGTTTTTTGGTTTTGTGAATTTTGTGAGTGGATTGATTTGTGAAATTTGCATTTGAATCCAGAACCAGCCTAACGTCATTTGCTCATATTAGCCTACCTTCACGGTTGAGTGTGTCTTTTAATCTACACACTTGTCCCTCCTTATTTCTTTTATCACTTTCCTATGGATCATAAGTGGGTAACAAGGTAAATTTATTGAGAGCCAGAACTTAGAAGCTTCTGCAGTGGCAACTCTAAAAGTTAAATAAAGTGGAGGACTCCTCCAGGTAGATCAGCAAGTAGCAATGTGAGTTCTTGGCTAATTATTAACTCAGGTGTTATGTTGCACTTTCAAAGGTTTCTTACCAGCGAATACAGTGTTTGCTAACATTTCTTTCTCTATTTTTCCAGAAAGAAAAAAACTGAAGGTGCCTATGACTTGCCTACTTGGGACCGGGCAGGTAACTCATGTGGACTTTGCATCTCTGTTCTTTTGAAGGAAACCCCTCTACTATAGGTGGAAGTAGTACAAAGGGCGTGCATTTTCCAGCCCATGCGACCCACCCCCCACTGATAGAAAAGTGGCATGCTCTTCTCATTATTTCTACTCTTCTGCACAATCTCGTCTGGTTAATCAGTAATGAAGTAGAAAGTGCAAGTTTCTCATGATACATGTTGTTCTTTTTATTGTGGAAAGCTTATCTGGATTGTCCTATGTGTCTTCCTCTTAAGGGAGACCAGGTGTTGTGTGGTCTCTATGAGTGCTCAGTAAGAAACAAAGAGTCATGGTCCCAGTAATGGAGTAGTCACACTGCTGTGGCTACTCACTAGGTAGAGTGTAAGAGTGTGTGTGCTCTGCCATCTCTGCGCTGAAGATTTGTCATTTTTTGAATTGCTGCAGGTAACATGAGACCCCTGACAGCAACCTGCTTTCTAGGTGTCCCTGCTAAGACAAGTGTACTAGGACAGTAGTAGAGCAGATTACAGGGCTACTGGTTCCTTAGGGTGGATCTTGGAAAGTATTGAGAAAAACTTATTAAAAACCATCCTTACACTAAGCACTGCCTGACTGCGTAAGACTGCATTGATTTGCTTCTGCATATGTATTAGATGGAGATTTCTACTCTTTTTTTGCCCTCCACTGCATATTACATCAAAGCAGAGAGCAGGCTGAAATACAAAGGCTGGTGTCCACCTTGCACTGGGTGTTCTTTCTAAGCAGAAATACTCTTGCATATGAAGGGTTGGACAAAGATATCGGTTGTACAAATAAATGGTCTCTCTGGCTTCTGATTACAATGAAGGTTGGTGGAAAGGAATGAAGCAGTTTCTCCCTGCCAAGTCAGTAGAACATGAGGAAACCCCTGTTCGCTACAGCAGTAGTGAAGTTAATCACTTGAATCCAAGAGAAGTCACCACAGTGCTACAAACTGACTCTGCAGGTAATTATGTAGCTGCTCTGGGGCACCAGGCAGAGGAAGAAACTGCTTATGTTGGTTGTAAACTGCTTTGGGATTGATAATATCTTTGACGTTTTTCATATATTAAAGAGAAAATTGTACCATTGTTTTTATTTTTAGTTTTTTTTTTTCTTTAAAATAAAAATAACTGATGTCAAAAAAAATAAAAAAAATAAAGAGAAAATTATGTTTTAACGGTAAGAGATTCATTTCTGTCTTAGATGTTTTGTTCACAGAACTGGGCATTTATTTCTAAAGGTTTGGGGATTTTGTGTGTTAAAGTATTATTTTGGACAGGGAATAGAGTAGGAAAGACAGTACCTTACAAAAGAAGACAGTATCCTATTATCTCAGTATACATTCATTTTAAACATTATCTTGTATGTGAAAAGGAAAAAAAATCATATTATTTTCAAAAATTAATACTTGTTCCAGTAATGAAGTATTTATTTTAAAGCGAAATACTCTGTAAACCTAAAGAACATAGGCAGACACTCTGTGCAAAGTTACATGAATGAAGTTCCCTGACTTAAGATACTAGATAACATCTAGTATACTAGATATATACTAGTATGCTCTAAGATACTAGATAACATCTTTAATTTTAAAATTGGTTCTTAGAGGGAAAATTCCTTTGGTCTACACTGATAGCAACAGTAGTGCCATAAATAAGTATTCGCTTTTGGTGCCATTTGCAGCTGCTGTCCTAAGGTATGGAATTGCTATATTAGGTAACATTTTGTTTGTGTTTTGTGATATCCACAGAGTATGCACAACCACTTGTGGGAGGAATTGTGGGTACACTTCATCAGAGATCTACCTTTAAACCAGAAGAAGGAAAAGAAGCAGGCTATGCAGACCTGGATCTTTACAACTCTCCAGCGCAGGAAGTGTATCATGCTTATGCTGAACCGCTCCCCATCACTGGGCCTGAATACGCAACCCCAATTGTCATGGACATGTCAGGACACCCCACAGCTTCAGTTGGTCTACCTTCTACATCCACTTTCAAAGCTGCAGGGAACCAGCCTCCCCCCTTAGTAGGAACGTACAATACACTTCTCTCCAGGACTGAGAGCTGCTCCTCAGCCCACGCCCAGTATGATACCCCTAAAGGTGGGAAGCCAGGTCCACCTGCCCCGGAGGAATTGGTTTATCAGGTGCCACAGAGCACACAGGAAGTGTCAGGAGCAAGTAGGGATGGGGAGGAGGATGTTTTTAAAGAAATCCTTTGAAGATGATGCTGCTTTTTTTTTTTTTTTAAACAAAGCATCAATTTAAAGCACATGGCCTTTAAAAAAAAAGTTAGTGGTAGTAATATATGGAATGTATTACATATCTGTCACTGAAATGTTTGGAGGAATGCGGTGGCCAAGGCACAGGAAACTACTTATCTTGCCATCTTGCTTTACAGGTGTTACTGTGGCACATTTACTGCTTGCCTATTAAATTTTCAACAACTTGTTTATAACTACTGTAAAACACTATTTTTAATACAGAAAAAGATCCCTATAATGCACTTCAAAGAAACTGAAAATCACTGAGAGTATTTATTACCAATGCTGCAGGTACATTATTGAACTTGAGTTGGTTCTATAAGCCTGATAGGCAATACGCATGGTACTGTTCTTGAAATGTCTAATGGCTTGAAATTTTTTCTCTGTCTTAGGTGGGTACTATTACGTTTACCTTCTCTTCTATTCCTATATTGCATCCTGGATTTTTAATAGATATGTTTCATTGTTTTGATTGTAGCCATACACACTCTTTGTCTTAAGGAGATTGGTGGCTAAGAAACTGACTTGTGAGCTGGGCCACTAAGGTCACTTGCTGACGCTCTGAGAGCTTTAAGACTTCATGGTACAGGGCCTGGTCTCTTCCCTGCTCCTTCCACCTGGGGGCCTTCATGGCTGGCCCCATTCTTGTTTATAAAATGTTTGTGTTTTTGTTTTTTGTTTCTTTATAGGTAATACTTGCTTTGTAATCTCATGAAATCAAATCTTCTGATATCTTTAGTATACTTCTCTTTATGAAAACCGGAATTTAAAATTTAGAAAAGTATCTCTCTGCACTCAGAAGTAATATAAATTATCTTGAAAACCAAAAAAATATGACCAGAATTGTCCTCTGGTGTTTTACACACACACACACACACACACTTTGAGTCTCAAGGTGTTTATAATTTTAGTCAAATTTTAATTTTCTTTTTCCTCACTAACAGTTGTAAGAAATAGAAACCCAGTGTGTATCCTTCAGTACAGTGTGGTGGTGCCTTTTGTGTATAGTAAATTTTGAGTAGTTCTTTGTGTCCTACCTAAGGAACAGATATAATAGCACCCTAGCAAACTAAATTGGTATCTCCCAGCAACTCTTGAGTCACCATTTGTTCTTGACCTGCCCAGAACTTGTTTTAGATGGGGTGAGTTAGAAAGTATATGTAATGTATTCATTAGCCTATAGTATAAAAACCATGTCTAAACATCTTAAGACTGGCAAGACAACCTAAGTTCACTGTGTGATAAATATAAATTTAATATCTTCTTTTCCATGAATCTTAGCTGATAAGACTTGATGTAGAAAAAAAAATAGTGCTTAAGTTTTTTTCATTAGTACATGTTTGCAGTGCATAATGTTTACATTTCTTGTGTGGAGTCTGTTCAGGAACATATGAGAAAATCAAATAAAGAGTAAATTGAAAGAGTAAGGAGATAAATCTTCCTAAAATGTCCATTTCCTTTAGATTCTAGTCATTTCTTCTGACTTATGCCACTAGCTTGTTTTGTTGCCAGAATTCACTGAATGTGAATAGACAACAGCATTTTGCCTGCATCCATATCAGCACCCTGTTCTAGTAACTGCATCAAAGAGAATTATGTATACAGCTTCCCTGCCTTTGCCTTCTCATATTTTGTTGGTTTTATTGACATTTGCCTTTTTCAAACTTTGAGGCACAATTTCAGTCATTGAAAAATCAATGCGTATTTTGTTTCAGAATATTTGAAACAAAAAGCACAGCTGTTGAATTTTTATTAAACCATGTATAAATGTGTGAAGCACATATATTAGTGCAGCTTTCTTCTTTCAGGTGGGAACAGAGTAAACCCATTGCTTTATTGTTTTTACTCATCCTTCGTACAGAGACTATATACCTTTTCTCAAGTCGTGGACCTGTTTAAAGCTTTAAGAGATGTTTTTAATGATTTCAGTTTTCCCAAAGAAACTTGCTGTTTTGTGTTGTAACCTGATCACTTTTCCCTGAAGCTCTTTTTATGAGAAGCAAATTTTCTGAAATCATGCATATTTTAACACTCAATTCATATTGCCACTGTGCTGCCCTTAAACTACCAATGATTTTAACGAAATACCTAGTTTTTACTATTTTCATATATTTTACTTTTCAGATGAAGAGCTGAGCCTGATTCAAATGGTTTTTGTTTTCTACTTTTTAGTTGTTTTTTTATATTAATTTTAAAATGTTTTGTTTTTTAGTATATTTATGTCTGGTGTCAGATGTAATATATATATGTGTGTATATATATATATGAATCAGACTATATATAAGCATACACACACACAGCCTTAGAGACAATCAAGTAACTGAAAATGTGAAGATACCCATTTTTTGACAAAATTCCCTTGAATGTTTATTCTTTGCTTGAAACATTTAAGACTTTAGTCACTACAGTTTTTTTTTTTTTTTTTTTTGGGGGGGGGTGGTTCCTAACAATACGGTTACAAAAATAGAATCGGAAGTGATATATCAAGTGTGGCCATTAGACATTTCCTAAAATTATGCTAACTTGGGCTATTACTTGATTTTAGGAACCAGCACAGTTAATGATACTAATACTTTTGATTTATCTTCTCTGAAACGCTGTAAACCTAAATAGGTCCTGTTGTATGTGCCAGGTCTAGTCCAACTATTTACGTTCATGTTTCACTATTTGCACTTTGCACTAAACAGTGGGTTCATTCGCTGATAAAAGTGGTCCAAGTAGAGAATTTATGCAGAATCAAAAGTACATCATGTATACCTTTCTCCCCTCACCCAGGGGTGAGGAGCGGATGAGCTCATTTAAATATGAATGTGGCCTCAAAACTGTGGAGTGCTAAGGCTTAGTTGCCTTGGCTCCCCAATGTCCCCTGGAGAGGAGAAGGGTACTAGAGACAGCAAGCAAAAACCGGTACATTATGTGGGACACTGAAAACTTTTCCTTTACCTAGTTGTCTCTACCAAGACAACTTTCCAGTCTCTGTCTAGGAAAATAATTATTAGCTCTGCCATTTGGTTTAGAACTTGAAGTCCCAAAACTGCAAAATCCAAGTATGAGTCAGATGGTTATTGAAATACTTTTAGGTCAGCTGTGGCACCAATTCTCATTTAATCCAACTTGTGACTGGTTTTCTTTTTGGCACTGGGAAAGGTAGAAGCAGAACATGTATTGAAATATATATTAGAAGTAAATATGGTTAAGGTGTCAGTTATATTCTCCTAGAATGTACTTTTCTTACCTCGGCATGTACTGTAGTCACTCAGTATTTGTATATGTTGATAGAATTTACATTGTTTAAATAGATTTTAATGTATTCCTGTTTTTAAAAATTGTATGTGTCTTGCTCAGATCATTTGGCTTAAATAAACCAGTTTGTAGCTTTTTGTCATAAAATGCCAGATTTCTCAATTTTTATAGTCCTCAGTTTTATGGCCATCATTATAGTACAGTGTTGGAGAATGCCACTGTTGGTTTTTTCCTTTGATTTCCACCACCTCACCCTTTCCCCTACGCCCAATGATCAGCACCATCCTTTTTGGAGTCTGATTTACTATATCAACTTCAGCAGCCAAGCTACAGGTCATGAATGTGTGGTATGAAAAAAAATGTCTCACTGTACACATGTAGATCATAGTTTGGTACCTGCCTTTCTACCTCAGAGTAATTAAAAGGTCCAGCAAAGCTGGGGCATCTCCGTATAATTAACATCTCACCTGGGTTAAATCACCTACTAGTTTTCTCCCCCTTATACTGCTTTCAAGTATTTCATTTATTCCTACTCTGGTCCTGAGCTGATATTTCACCCTTTATATATTCTCTTTAAGGAAATGATTGGTTGTCAGTTAATACCAATATTTCCCAGTAAAATATGAGTGAAAAACTCAGGTTCTTCATGAAAATATGAAATTCAAAACCACCTTGGTTCTTAAAGATTTACTTGCTTTGTCATCTTAACTTTGCTTTTTTTACTTCAAATTGAAACAGTTTAATGAATAAGCAAGGCAAAAAAAAATTAAGAATTTTCTCCTTAAGCTCAAGTAGGCTAGCTTCTGTCTTTCTCCTTGCTGACACAAAAGTACCACCACTGAGTTAGAGGAGGAAAGGCTTATTTAGCTACAGTCTACAGTTTGTAGGTTTCAGTTTATAGTTGGCTGGCTGCAGGCAGGGTGGTTGGCTCATGAGCGCTGTGGAGGAGAAACAACAGTTCACGGCAGGCAGAAGACATAAGAAGCAAGGAAGTGAGCAGCATCTTTCTCTATGTCATAGCTAGCCTTTGGCCCTTAAGGCAGATAGCATTCACTCTTAATTCTAGCACACTTGGTCCTAGCATTGCAACATAAGCCAGTCGCAGCAAAATGCAATCTCTGTCCATTCAACTCTGAAAAGCCTCTCTGCATGAAACTTTGGGGTGACATCTAGACCCATAGTGTTACCATTTCTTGTGATGTCCCCTTCTGTTGAGGACAATTTTTGGTGAGTTTTTACATGGGATACAAATATTCTTACATCATTTTCCCATGAGTAGAGATCTATCCATACACCTCTGCCCCAGATCTTTGCTACCAATTTTCCCGTCATGTGCCTTCCACATTCTTAACCATGTGACCAGACCACTGGGTACAGCCCATAAATTATAGTCACACATTGGCCATTTCTCCTTCTAGGCAATATGTACTACCAGGTGCACCACCCAAAGTTCTGCCCACTGAAGATTTCTTATCTCTGTCCTTCAGAGATGTCTTAGAGGCTATAATGTTGCAGCTGTCCACTTGCTTGTGGTGTCTGCATAACATGCAGAACCATCTGGAAAGCTGGCCCTTTCTCTGCTAGCCGATCATGTACATCCCATGAGGACACAAGTGCATTCTGGGGAACAAAGCAGTACTGCAGGAGTAGGAGCCATGGGCAGCTGGGCGACCTCATGTAATTTACTTGTACCGGATTAATCTGCTCAAAGCCACATTCACCATTGCCATATAATTTTGACATAGCTGTATATGTCAACATTATGACCTAGTGGATTAGACAGTACCCAGGCTCATGACGGGCAACTCAATCACATGGACCTGGTATTCCCTAGGCAACCATTCAGTTTCCATTAGGGCCCAGTAGTAGGCTAGGAACTCTTTCAAAGTGAGAATAGTTGTCTGCAGATAATAGCAGAGGCTTACTCCAAAATTCTAAATGCTTCATTCACCTGTGGGGGCCTACTGAGACTCCAAACATCTCCATGCACCACTGACACTTCAAGTACATTGGGATCTGCTGGATCATATGGCCCCAGTGGCAAAGCAGACTGCACAGCAGTTGGACCCCTTGCAGAGTTTTTTCTTACTCTGGGTCTTTCTCAAAACTAAGTTTCCTGAGTTACTCAGTAAATAAGCCAAGAATAAAACACTTGGTGAGGAATGACCTGCTTCCCAAATCCAAATAGGCCTACCTACTAAGCATTGTGTCTTTTTTGGTTGTAGGGGGACCCAGATGCAAGAGCTCGCCTTTTACCTTAGATACTTCTATATTCCCCACACCACTGGATTTCTAGAAATTTCAGAGGTAGGACTTTGAATTTTAGTTGGATTTATTTCCCATCCTCTGGCTCTCAAATGATTTACTAACAAATCTAAAGTGGTTGCTACCTCCTGCTCACTTGGTGCAATTAGCATAATACCAATGTAATGGACCAGTGTGATACCTGGTAAGAGAGAAAAAGGTTAAGATCCCTGCAAACTGAGTGGGGGCACAGGGCTGGAGAGCTACTATAACCCTGAGGTAGGACAGTGGAGTGTACTGGCAGCTGAAAGCAAATTTTGGATAGTCCCTCTGGACAGGCATGGGAAGACACATGCCAAATCAACAGCTGCATACTGAGTCCCAGGAGATGTGTTACTGAAGAAGGATGCTACATCTGTACATCAGCTGCAGTCAGAGCCAGCATTTGATTCAGTTTATTGTAACCCATCATCATTCTCTTAAGATTCCTTTCTCCTGCGCAGACCTAAATCTGGAGGCAGTGGAAACCACCACCCCTGCACACATCAAGTCCTTGAGCGTGGCACTGACCTCCACAGCCGCTCCAGGGATGTGATACTGTTTTGGCTTAACTATTTTAACAGGCAAAGGCAACTGCTTTAATTTGGCCTTTCCAACCCTAACGGCTCTCACAGGTTAAGGAACCACTGTAAGAGTTTTGCCAAGTACTAAGTATATCTATCTTGTTTGTGCACTGAGGAACAAGAGAAATGACTAAAGGATAGATTTCAAGGCTCCCTAGCCCACTGTGAGCTGGACCTTACCTGTCCTTCATAGGCCCTGACTCTTACTGGAGGGCCGCAAGGACGTTTTGAATCCTCTGGGATCAAAGTTAATTCCGAACCAATGACCAGTAGTCCCTGAAATGTCTGAGCATTTCCCTTCTTCCAGTGCATTCACCTGAGCAAAAAGCCTTAGGTCCTTTTGGGGAAGGATGGGAGAAAGAGTGACCATAGAAGCTTTTGGTGCATGAGTCCTTCCTCAAAGGGACCAGGCATCCCCTTCATTCAAGGGGTTCCAGACCTGTAAACACTCCAAGAACTGGTTGAGGGGCTGTGATTTCCTGTTAGTATGACTCAAAGTAGGTTTCTGTGCATTTGCCCTTACATTTTTTTTCAATTACATAAATCTAGTAAAACTTTTGTAGGCTCCTTATTTCACTTTTGGGAACACTGGCTAGTCAGCCAGGGCCACTCTGATCGTTGTTTAGCTTCTGCTGTCTTTAGCAAGGCTACCAGTTTGACCTCTGCCACTCTAATATCCAATCAAACCCACCGCCCTTAAATTTCCAACTGAGTAACGATGCTCCCCATTGTAAGGCCTAGCATGCAGAGATAAGCCATGCCATAGCTCAAGGATGCTGTGCTCGCCTCCAACCTGTTTCTCAAGTTCTTAGTGAAGGGTGCATTTTCTGGATCATCCTGGGAGGTGGATTAGGTTTAAAATGGCAAATCCACTCTGCCATTGCCATTTCCTCTGAAGCTCATCAATGGGATAGGTGGCATCTCTGGCTCTTTTACCGTGGACCATCTTCTCATACTTCATATTTCTGCCACCCAGCCAACACCTACTAACACCTTTTTTTTTACTCCATGAGCTGCAACATCAAATTCAGAATTCCTGCTTAAGCCTGTATCACAAACTCAGCCTGATCCAGGTGTATATTTTTGCCACCATTATGCCAAATCTAATTGTAAAAAGGTTTTGAATTTTTTTAAATAATGCAAAACGCCCAGAGTTTTGTAATTTAATTTAATAATTTACTCATTCAGAACTGTCTGTTTTGCCTATTTCCTTTAACTTAAGAAGAGAAAAATAAAAAAGTCTACTATCTTCCTTCTATCAAATTAACTACTAATCACATTCATGGCTTAATTAACTTTAGAGGGAGGAAAGTGAATGAAAGCAGTATGACTTTCCACAGCCAAGCAGTTATGGTTTGCTGTATCACGGTATGGTCACATAGCATTGTCCCACCTGCTGTGTTTACATTAACCAAATAATACCTCTCCAAATGTCACATCATAGTCAAAATTGCAGTAAAGTCTCCTTGCTTAGGAAACCACATTCTTTGAAAAGTCTAAAATGAAATAACCGTAAGATGTTTTTTTAAACTACCTCAAAAACTTATTTTAAAAACAATGCAATCAAAACTTATTTCCCTGATAACTAAATAATTAACTAAATAATTCTTGGTTTTCATAAATATATTCACAAAGATTAAGCTGGTGGTTATGAATCACCAGGCAGCAACAGATTAATATACATAATTATTTGACAAGTCCATCCAACATATTTAAAAATAAACTAAAAATTCCAGTATAAAAATAAAACTAATACTGTTAGCATAATCTTCTGAGTTAGTAGGGTCAATCTTCTGTCAAGTTGATTACAAATTTTTTTTCTATAATGTCCTTCAAAAAAAGCTGCTCTGCAGTCACATTGTGGTATGCACTCTGAAGAAGAAAAATAAAGTAGGATTACCATCTCTCCATCCCAGTTGTAGAACAGTAACAGCAACAGAAGATTCTGTACGTTAAACAGGTTTTTTTTTCATTTTAATGAGAAAAGATAAAACAGCAATGAAACAGTTTCAAAACAGGCTAGTATGATAGTTACAATAATTAATATATTGCATGTTGTTGTCTTCCTAGTAGTTATTCAGAGGACAAGATGCAGACATGATGTCTAAACAATATTAGTACAAACCTTTCTTCTCAATGAACTAAGTGAAAGTAGCTGTCTATCCTATCTTTTATATACATAGTTTTTCCACACACACGTTCCTTTATTTATATCCCCCTTTTTTTGTCTCATACCTTAAAAAGTTCTATACTAAGCTCAAACGTTAAATCAAAGGAATACTATTACCTTCCTAATCTTCCTTATTTATTCTGTGTGACAGCTTCCCTTAAGGCCTTTTCTGTCCTAAACTTATTTAAAAGGTTTCTTCACACATCTCAAATTGTATAAATCTTAGGTATCAGAATTTTAAGTCAGAATGGAATTTTTATAAAAGCAGCACTTGGAACTCATTTTAAAAAATAAATTGATCTCGAGGTGAGAAACTACTATAAAGCATAGCTCAACTTAAGACGTGTTTTAAAAATTGAGGCCAGAGGTATAATTCAATGCTATGTTTGCCTAGCTAGTGCAAGGCCTTGGTTTAGATCCCCAGCACCCTAAAAATTAAAGAAGTAATCTGTTCTATTGTTAGACATCCTATGTTTTCTCAGGAAGTTTTAAATCCTGTTATTTGACTCTTGAAATACTACAAGCCCTACAAGAAAAATTAAGACTGAGAATAAATGAGCTCTTCAAGGCACCCACTTCCTGAACTACTCAGGTGTTTGCCTAACACACTGAGGGTGAGGAGGAAGGTTAGAGGAACAAAAGACAGTATTAAAATCCAACCCAAATCATACCACTTCCTCAGCTTATGCAGTATTTTGGGACAAAAGGGACTGATTTCATGAAATCTCATATACTTTATAGCAAAGCATTTACAGTGTAATATTAAAAATGTACAGGTAACATTTAAATCTTACCACTTGTGTACCAATAAGCTAATAATCAGAAACATAGAAAACTCCTTCCCATTCAATTAAAATCCTCAGGATCAAATTTACTAGCACTAATGTCTACTGAAGAAAAACATGATCTAGGGAGATTTGTGAACCTTTCACAGACAAAGATTGTTTTATGGGGTTGTAACTGGTGGCAAACTTGTGGCATGCATGCCACGGCCAGCTATTATCATTGAAAGCTAAAGGTTTGCCATTATCTTGTCTACAAAAAAAAAAAAAAAAAAGACAGCAGTGCTTTTCATGAATTTGCAGGCTTAAGTTTTATATTTAAATAGTGCAGATGTGATGTCCTAAGTAAGACCTGGTAAGTTGGCAATAGCCATAAAGCTTTCTCAAGGCCCTAAGGCCCACAAATACGGAGTTGCTGCGACTATAAAATGACCTTGGACTGGGGTCCTAATTTCAGTCCTCGGTAGCTCTGTAATACCTCTATGAAGCCCTCAACCCTTCAAAATTTTCCTGAATAAAATGAGACAGTAAGGAAAAAAATAATGGGCTTTCTGACAATTAGGATGAAAGATCATGCCAAAGTATATGTACACAAGCTTAAGTGAGTGGTATGCATAGTTACCTTATTCATCAAGGACATGGTGGCATTCCCATAGTAGTGCAAAGGACTCTTAAGGTCAGAAAAGTTGTATTTAAAACCAGCTAAATGAACTTCATGACATATATGAAATGCCAGTGTGATGGCAATAATTCCTGTTGTTGGGTGTTTGGGTTTCTAGAAGGGAAATAATTAAAAAAAAAAAAAAAAAATCCAAGTGAATTGTTTGTTTCTAAGACATCTGATTGACCTACCTTATAGAACAATTTCTGGATGATTAAGCAAGTGAAAAATATTCAAACTCATACCCCAAGACTCAAAGCTCCAAATAATGTACATAACTGAAAAAAATACCAACTATAACTGAAATCTCAGAAAGTCTTTTCTAATAGAACTTAGCTGAAATACTAGTTCAGAGGATAACCATTACGACAAATGTTCTTGGCGCTAGGTACAAAGTGCAGTACAGGGACAAAAGAGGAAGGGAGACTTAAGGAAGAAAATACTGCTACAATGTTTTTAAGAAACATGAATCAGGCACTTCATGGAAAAGCAAAGCCTGGGAATCTTGAGATGAATAAAGTGCAGACAACTTAATTTGATTAGTAATAGCATCATAATTATAGAAGTCTCATATATTCTTAAAAGGCCTCATTGCGGTCTCTTAATTTTTAAATCTAGAAAAGTCTAAGCAATTTCAGTAAGTATCTGACTATAAAATGATTCTAGATTGGTACCTAAATATCACAACTTCATTTGGATGAAAGATTAAAAGGGGGGGGGGGGGAACCAACCCCAAGCCTCCCTTTTCCTTTCCATACATCCTGAAAACCTGTGGCTAGGTATTTGACAGAAAGCTCTTGGCAAAAGTGTTCTTTCTCATTGGGACACCATTCAAAGACAAAAGACATCGAAAGGTTGTTAATAATCTGACAGTCCTGTGGAAATTACATATGATTACTTGGGAGGGGACAGCACAATACAATCAAGTGAACTGCAAGAGGCAGTCTTACCTGAAAGTCTAACACGCTTCAGTTTCCCCATAAGCTTTCCTTTACCCAGGCACCTCAACTCCACCACAACCCCTTGCCAGCTGCTACAGTAGAAAGTCCCTGGTTGGGCTGAAAACCTAGGACTCATTCACCTCACCAATCCCACCACTTTGTCCTGCTCTTGCCCCTTTTCAGGCCTTTTACTTAATTTCTTCATACCTCCAAGTCCTTTCCCATAGTTACAAATAACTCCTTATGCTCACATCCCTAAGCCTGCGGAAACCTTTAATTTTCTGATCATCCTGTGCCTACCACAAGCAGCAGAATATGCCAAGAGAAAAATATGTTTGCCTGGTCAAATGGTAAACTTATGACCGAAGTCTCAAGTGGGCACTCAATATGTCCAACACTTACCTAACTTCCCTTCCTACTCGCCAACATGAAAATTTTTTAACTGTCCTCTAACAGCCTTAGTCTCCCAACTTCAAATTCACAACTTCGAATTCACAACTCAATCCTTTTCTATGAAAATGAAAGCAATTAATAAAGAGCTACATCACCTTCCCAATTCCACATTTACCATCTTATAAGCACCTTTACTCATTCTACAGTGCTTTTTTTTTTTTTTTTTTAATATATGTATGTGGTACAGGGTCTCACTACACAGCTCAGACTTATAGTGCTCCTCCTGTTTTTAGCCTCCCCAGCATTGGGATTACAGGCGTGCACCACCACGCCCAGACTTGGTCACTGGCTCAGCATACCCGAGGACGGGGCCAGTGCAGCATGCAGTACCAGGGATTGAACTCAGTCCCTGCCTGCTTAAGCAGGCACTTAGTCTGCTGAGCTATCTCACCGGCCCGCTTCCTCTTAATGTAGGCGATATCTATTTATGCCTATGGCCAGTCCTTTCACTAATTAATATATACTATCAATCTCTTCTCAACAGCTTCTACTTTCCACTTTTTCACCCTGTCATAAAAATTGAATCAGAACACAACAAATGACACAAATTTCTTTGACTCTATATCTTTCAACTTTTACTCATCTATTGATAATTATGTATTTCTTTATGCCTACAGAAATACTTTTAGACCACTTTACTGTTTTCACTCTTGCTTTCCTGTGATATTTTGAGCAGAGTGTGCTGTTGTTTGGGTGTGGCCTCCAAAGGCCAATATGTAAAAACTGGGTCCCCAGGGTGACACTATTGGGAGGTTTGCTCTCAAAAGGGACTGTGGGACTCAGCTGCCTTCCTCTTTCTGTTTCCAGGGCTTGAAATGTGAATACTCACTAGGACGTGCATAATGATAGCTCCTGTCACCACAGGCCCAAAGCATGTTGCCATAGACTGCAATTTCCAAAACTGGAACTAAACGAACTTTTCTTCTTTAGGAACCTGTCCTCAGTGTTTAACTGTAGGACATGAAGTTTCCTAATACAGAGCGCTACAGACAAGTCTAGCTTAGCCTAAAAGCTGTGTACTCATCCTGAAGCCAGTTCTGCTGCTCTGAAAAGGAGTCTACACGCCAGACCAGTTAGTCAGATTCTCCTTGCATAATATTTAAGGTGCATTCATAAGAGATAAGCCACTTGGATGTGCAGAAAGAAGCCCCATGAAGACTGCAAGGGCAAAAATCCTTCTGCTTGAGGTTATTTCCCTTGCCACAACGTAAAATGCCACAAACATAATAGCCACGTCTACTTTTACAAAACTCAGGTGTAGCCCTCGGTACTTCATAAGCCAGGACTCTTGCATAATTTTTTGTTTGTTTGTTTTCTGTGGTACAGGAATCAAACTGAGGGCCTCACATTTGCCAGGCAGGCTCTGTGCTACTGAGCCATGTCCCCAGCCCCTTCTTGTGTAGTTTTTGAAAGCTCCAAGGACCCTCTCTCCTACCTCAGCCAACTCTTTAGTCTGAAACATGCTAAGACACATACATACCTGATTTTTGGGAAACACTTTTGGAAAATGAAGCAGATCTAAAGCTGCCGTCCTTACAATGAAAGGATCTAATATTCTGATTTGATAAGGTTTATAAATCAAGTTTAAGGCTGGTTTCTTCCAAAATCCATTAGCATTCTGAAATAAAGAACATAGAAAGTTACTGCTATCTTTTATGTTTCAAAGGGAAAAATACTAAAGGTAATCTAAAGGGAGATGAATGTTGCCAACTTACTATTTTGCCACCACTCAGCAATTCTGACAGCCACTTTAAGTCAAGAGGCTTAAAAACAGTGAGTATCGCCGTAGCATTAGGATCATTGTGACTGGGATCTGAAAAAACAGATTCTGGATAAAAAAGTCGGAAGGTTGTCCTTCTCCCAACTTCCTCTTCATGTCCTAAAACAGGACCACTATTCATTCTGTGGGTAGCAAAACATGCAAGACATGTAGACCAAGTGGAGCATGAGCCATTTCCATCAAAGTTTTCAGTGGCTTCAGAACTGGATAAATAGCCATTTATTCTGTGTTCTGAAGCCACATGGTACCTGATAAACCTCTTACACACAATGGCAGATGAAGTATTTCTTTTTCATGAAATAGCTCTTTGATCAAAGGAGAAACATTAATTTGTATTAGAAAATAATTTATGGAGGCAATAATAATTCAGTCTTACTTCTGGGGAAACTGAAGACTAAAAGAGAAGAAAACAGCATCACAGAGTTAGGAGGCCTTGGAGGACAACCACACACAGGTTCTATTGACAGTCTAGAGGCCTGATGTCCAGAAAGACAGCTATTTGCCCATAGTCATTTAATCCTATAGCACTCAGAAATCCATCTAAGTGACAAGAAGAATCATTCAGGTTGAGTCTAAAGACTTAATCAAAATTGTGCTCTGAAGTGAACCATATAAAATGGCTGTATTACACTTGAGTATAACTAGATGAACATCTATTGCCAGAGGCAATCAAAGGACCACAAAGGATCTATTGTTAGGTTTGTATATTCTCAGAGCCAAGGTCAGACACTATGTATGCGCATACTACAGAAGTCATGCTGTAAAAAAAGGAATATTTTGTTTCCACAACAATGTCCCCTAGGAGGATAAATACTGTCTTACCCTTTGTGCTGACTCTGTAATACGAGACAGTCTTAACACTAGAAATGACTTTCAAAACATACCAGTACTGTTTTCCTACTAGGGCTCTAAATCCTGTAGTGGAAAACTTATGGCATGTGGACTGCAGCAGGCTGTTTGTTATCATTAAAGGCTCTAAAAGGTTTTTCATTCCTGCTCTAAATGATGATTTAGGCTTTTACAGGTATAGAAATTCATGAGTGCTTCAAATATATTTTGTAATTTTGTAGTATCACAGATCCCACAAAATGGGTACCAGGAAATAACGTGATCTTACTGCTCAGAAACGAGTTTGGAGCCCAGAAAAACCCACAAACACTGAGATGTGATCCTAATATAATGCCCCAAATGTGCTGGCTTTCCACCAAAAGGCTATTCATAACTATTCTTAACACACCACACTTAGGCCTGATAGACAATGATCTTATTTAAATTTTTCACTAGGAAAACAGAAACACTTTTCTGCTACTATATTTAAAGAAATGCTAATAGCTGTAACCACAATCTGCGCTCTTCATTACAAAATATCAATCTTTCTGGGTGTGGTGGCCCAAGAACGTAATAATCCCAGTACTCTAAGAAGCTGAAGCAGGAGATCAGCAAGTTCCCTCCCAACCTGGGCAACATAGTGAGTCCCTTTCTCAAAACAAGCGAACACAAGTCTAGGATGTAACGTAATGTAAAAGCCATTTAATCCCCACTACCAAAAAACTACATTTGAACTCTACACCTAATTTTTTTTCTCTATGATATCTCTTTTTCTATTTACTTTCATAGTTTAACAATATGTTCTAGCATCTTCTCTCTTCATAAAACAAAATAAATCCTTTTTTGTTCCTATAACCATTTCTGTCAGCTCAATATTTAACTCCTTTTCTGAGCTAAATTTCTCACAAGAGTTGACTACTTTTTCCACTTACTCCAAATCCCATCCTTTCTTCTCTCTCACTCTTGTCATGGGTTGCTTTGTTCAGAGTGAGAATAGCTTCAAGCTAACAACCAACAACCCAGTGTTCCCTTGCTGTCCATGACTTGAATGACTTCTCATGACATCTGGGACCAATTAATTCTTTTTTTTTTTTTTTCTTTTTCTTTTTTTTTTTTTTTTTTTTCAGAACCAGGGATTGAACTCAAGACCCTGTGGTTGCCAGGCAAGCGCTTATTCTACTGAGCCATCTCCCCGGCCCCACCAATTAATTCTTCTGTTTTGGAGCACTTTGTTCTCTTCGCTTCTATGATCACCTTCTCCTAAATTTCTTCCTCCCTCACTAGATTTTCTCTCTTTTGCTCACTCTGTTTTCCTTGGTCAACTTCTAAGTGTTGAGCTCCAAACCTATGTCCTGGGTCCTCTTGTCTCTGTCTCTTCCTTGGGAATCTTACCAGACCCATGGTTGAAATATATATACCTCACTGACTGCTCACCATCAAAACTTTATCCAACTGCCTACTTATCTTCTCCACTGTGTATCTCATAAACACCTCAAATCTAAAATATTAATACAGAAATCTTGTTTCCTCTTAACATACTTCTACACCAGTCTTCCCCAGATTAATAAATTACACTACTGTCTGTCCAATCTTAAGCTAATAACAGTAGAAGGCATCCTTGGATCCTTTATTCCAATTATTCCTCATATCTAATAGAAAACAAATCTTAATAACTATGTCTATATCCCTAGTCTGCCCACTTACCTACCTCTCTGCCATGGCAACCCTGTCCCATGCTCCCTGAATACAGCCACTTAAAAAGATGCCTCATAGTTAGGATAGATATACAGCTACATTCTCTTAATTCAATGAATAAGATTTGTTCTAATAGTGTTTGTGGACGGGATGTCATGTCTGCATCTTGTACAAAGATAACCACTGAGACAACAATGTGCAATGTATTTATTATTGAAACTGTCCTACTGATTGGTTCTGAAACTGTCTCACTGCTATTTGTTTCTCAATAAAATTATTTTTTTTTAAAAAAAGAATGCTTCATTCATACTCTTAGCACTCACATTCCATTGTCTATGCTGAAGCCAAAACAGCTTTAAAACATAAGCAGATTGTATTACTCTTTATTTAAAAACCTTTAAAAGTATCCTATTATATTTAAAATCCAGTTCTAATCCTAGTTTACAAATTCCTGTACAGCCTGCTCCTTGCCTACCGCAGCTTCCAATTATACCACTCTTACCTGGCTGTCCTCCAACCCTACTGGAGTTTTGCCACCTCTTTCAAACTCAAGATCATATCTTTTTGAGGACATGAAATAAACATTCTCTCTACCTACACCATGCACTTCCCTAATCTCCATGCTGCTGGCTCTATATGGTCACTTAGGTCCAACTTAAAAATCTCTTTAAAGTGGTTCCCAAATAACCACTCATGCACTATCATTTTGTAAAATTTTCTATGTGGCACTTACTATATTTTCTTATAAATTTAATTACTATTTTTGTCCTTTCACTAGAATGCTAGAATGTCCATGGGGTGAGGAAAACTGTTCTTATCCACTGTTCTCCTCAGGCAAGGTATATGCCTGGAATAGTAAGGGCACCTAATATTTTCTACATTAGCAACCTGAAATCTTGGCCTCACCCTAGCCAACAACCAAGAGAAGGATTATGCAGCCAAGTATATAGACAAATTGAAGTGTCTTAAAACATAGCTGTCCTATGTTAGGAAAGCACACTCTTTTCAAATAGAGATATATTTACCTTATTATGACATCATAGGAGTCAATTTTTTCTCCTAATGTCTTATTCTTCAAAATTCCTCCATTACCAACCACCACACACTTTTTACATGGTTCACTGTCAAGTAAATAGATGAGAGATTAAGCAAGCTTTCACAAAATAAGGTAATTATAAGAATCTGTTCCTACTTTCTGGAACTCTATTTCAAAAATAGAAAAAGAGTTAAGTATAGCTTATAGATCCAGATATGTATTAGAAAACTACAGGACTCAAAAAATAATGTATAGAAAAATTATATCATTGTCCATAAGTATCAACTCTTAACAGACCATAAGCATTGTCTTTTAATTTTCATTATCACCTAAGATAAGCCCATTATTCACATTCAAATGAAGAAATCACTTTGGAAAAATATTACACAACATTTCAAAGTCACACTCCAAAAAGGTAGAACTAGCATTTGGAACCAAAGTTTTGGACAAACACCTTCCTCCCATGAGTTGTATGTTGATAAATACAAGTGTGTTTTACATTATACACAAGGACACTTTGCCAACGTTACTCATTCTTCTGAGATCTCACCTCTGGCCTTCTGTTTTATCCTCTAAGTGTGGAAATGGACCTTTCGTACCTGCCCATCCTCACTTTGATTTTCTACACAATCAATCACCCTAACTACTCCTTGAAGCTTAAGCAAATAAACGAAAAACCTCAAAGTGCACTTTAAAGCAAAGAGCTTTAAAGTTGAACACAAAGGTAGTCTTCCCTGTTGCTGAGAACCATAAGCTGCAAAACACTGGTTCTCAGTAAGCATGGTGGTGGCCCATCTGTCTGCTAGTTCTTAGCAATGGCTCTGTGTGTGTGTGTGTGTGTGTGTGTGTGTGTGTGTGTGCATGTGCGTGCGCGTGCACATGTACACATTCTTTGTTGATCCACCCCGTGAGTATTCTACAGCAGGGAGTCATTCCCACACTCACAAGCTGTGTGGACTTTCCATATCCTCAGGCTAAGCTCTGTGCTGCTCAGAGGCTGAACCTCCTGAGGCTGGCTCCACCTCCAAACTGGGAAGGTTAAGCAAGGCTGGACACTGCTGGGAAGGGCAGAACTGAAATCTGGGCTGTTCCCATGACAACTTGCACTGAAAGATAGGTGGGAATATGTATCTGTAATTGTGGTCCCCAGTGTAACCGCTTTCCTCCAATGAAGGATGGAGGCCACTCTTCTCATGGAGAGGCATGGATACCTCACCTGAGCCCTGGTCCCCAGGCACGTCATCCTGCTGTGGACCATTAACAGGAAGGACTGCTTCTTCCTTGGTGTCAAACACTAGCCTAGGGATCTAGGCTCCTGGATCCCTTTTTCCTTAGGTCTGCAGCAGACTTTTGGCCCTCCTTGGGTCACTGTACAACCTCACCATATTTAATTAACACAACTTTCATGCATAGACAGTGCAGTGAACTGTGAGTCCCTAGAGGCAAAAATATTATCATTTATATCTGTCCTCTCATCTAAACTACTTCCTCATTCACAGATATCCTAGAAATCAACTTGGTTGTAAACATTAATTGTACCGAAATAATTTTCCTAATTTGTTTCTGAGAAAACAGTTATCTGCTTCTCCAACTTGGAAATATAATAAAGAAATGTAACCCAAGCCACTCACCCAGAAAACAAAGTAACTCCAGAATGCCTGAACACCTGTTAATGGAAAATCTAAAAAACCATTAAAATAATAGTGCTAAGATATTATTCTTCCTTCAGTGAGAGGTATGTTCTTCATTAAGTCAGGTAAAGTGAGAGACAAGTCACTAACCTATGCAGAAGAAAGCAACATCAATACAAAGGAAGCAAACCCAAACTCTCCATGACAAAACATCTATGATGTGTCTTCTGAATGTTTTTAGACATTCATTTTTCCTTGGGCAGCCTCATATATACTAAAACGGATCCCCCCACCTTCAGCGTAACAGTCTATGGCAGATTCCACTGGTCTTATTCTGGATAGCTATTCCCCGATGTGCCTTGTAGCAGAGCCCTGCTTTTGTAGTCTTGGAGGGTTAGCTCATTTCCCCCGTCAGTGACTGTCTAGAGACACACAGGACTCATCCCAGGCAAGAAGATAATAGAAAAGTCTGCTGGATGTTTTTGAAAAAGATTCTGGCAAAAGAATGGTAGGAGCAGAAGCCTTTCTGTCCACCCAACTTTTCCTTTCTACTTAGACATGTAAAGAAGTTAAAGCAGCTGTAGCCATCTTGCAATTCAGAATGAAAAAGAGCTACAGAAAAACTATCTGAGTGCTCCTGCATTCTGAAATCACTAATTCCATCACACAAGCATACAGATGTGCAGGTGGTACACAGTCCAAATACAGATGCATCACTGAGATAACTGTGTGTGAACTGGCACTTCCTCAGATTGGGCAATCCACAGTTAGAACAGCCACCAGGAGGGCGCTCTGGTACCTCTTTCTGGTTCTACCATCTGCACAACTGAAGCCTTATACTTACACAATCTAGGCAATAATGACTTCTTAATCAAAAAACTATTACTTGCAGGCGGAAAATACTGAAATACTGTGCAGAGAGGTTATGGGAAGAGACCTGGCTACTTGTTCTGGTTCTCTTCTTTGGCAACTCTGCAAAATGGCCCAGTAATCTGATCTAAGTTTGCCCTTTCACGAAGTGAGGAAATCACTGATGTCCTGCATATTGTTATTCCACTGGACATGACCATTTCCTGTGATATGTATCACAATTTCTGTATCTTTAGCTGACATGGGATCACAGTGGATGGTAGAAAGCAGGCAGTGCTGCACTTGGGCCTTTGCCACATATGACTCAGTTATGTGCTCAGAGCTTCCAGTTACCCTCAATTTCCAATGCAATATAAAAATTTTTAAAAATAGCAGAGTGATAGAGTAGGAAGATAAGCACCAATAGTCTCTATAAAGTTAAGACTCATTAACAAACAGCTGTTGATGTCTAATTCTTTTCTTTTATTTATTTGTGTGTGTGTGTGTGTGTGTGTGTGTGTGTGGCCAGCTCAGCCCACCAGGGGGCAGGCTGGCTGGCATGTGGTGCTGGGGGATTGAACTGCGGTCCCTGTGCTTTGCTAAGCTTGTTCTAAGTAGGTGCCCTACACCACTGAGCTATCTCACCAGCCCCTCTTTTTGAAATTTTCTAATGGCACACTCCTCACTTGGCTGTTAACCAATCTAACCCAGATCCACTGATGCTGTAACGGATTTTGCAACTGACTTGACACATGAGTTTCCTTTAAGTGAGACATTTCTGTGTGGTTACTGCATAATCACTGCATTCGTTAAGAAATCTGGGAGCGGCCAGATAGCTCAGCAAGCTAAAGCACCTGCTTAGGCAGAGCATAGTGGTCGGGGTTCAATTCCTGGCATATGTGCTGGCCCTGCCCCTGGGGCGCACTGAAGCAGCAACTGAGACTGGGTGTGGTGGTGCATGCCTGTAATTCCAGCGCTTTGGAGGCTGAAAAAGGTGAATCACTACAAGTCCAATCTATGTAGTGAGACCTTGTATACCCTGTACTAAATACATTTAAAAAAAAAAAATCTAGGACATTTTCTCAATGCAATGCTGGTGACTAGGGGAGCAGGGGCTCAGGTTTTGAGCTTCAGGGTTTCCATTGCTCTGGCTGGAGGCTGTATTCCCACTAAAGAAAGAGCATCATCCCCAGGACAGGGATCTGGCTGGTCTGGGGGGCACACAGACAGTCAGGAAGGCTCGGGACCCTGGAATATAAACACACTGCAAGAACTCTTCTTCTGTGCTGCAATTTCTTTAAAATATTCTCAATCTTTAGTAAGCACTGTAGCCTTGAGTCAGCTGTGCTCTAAAAGAATAAAAAGAAGAACCCAAATCTATAAGAAATTAATGGCAGCAGCATACAGAAAAGATGCATCAACCTCAACTGTTACACAACATTCACTGAACTGACTTCGGAATCCTCAGACTAGCACAGAAAAAAATGGGGGCCAGAGAAATGAATGGAGAATACTGACAGAAATAGCTAGCTGTCCCTCAATAACTTGCCTTTGTCCTTTAAAGCAAGACTCACTGTTTTCAAAGGTGGACACCGAGTCACCTGGATGAGACAATATTTTCCCACTCACGTTCCACTAGTTATGACTTTGTGATGGATGGAGTCCTACCCAATGGGACATCATCAGTAGCTGCGATACAGGTTAAACAACTCTTTCTGGTGGGTGTAGGCAGAATGAGAGAAGCACTGTTTGTAAAGTCTGCCAAATCCCGTGGTATAAATTCTCTCCCCCAGTTAATTTTAAGCTTCCTCTCTGAGGTTACTAAATACAGAAGTGGGAAGAAGGGCACCTCTCAAACTGATAACTAAGCCAGGCATGGTGGCGCATACCTGTAATCCCGGCCCACAGGAGGCTGAGACACAAGGGCTGCTGTAAGTTTCAGGCTAGCCTGGACTACACAGTGAGTTCAGCATCAGCCTGAATGGCACAGAAAGAACTTGTTTTAAAAATAAAAAATAAAAACCTTAAAAATGTTGCTATCTACTCTCTGTGGCACATCAATAGATGTGATGAAGTATCATATCAGATTTCTGGGAGATGACCTTAAATAGGAAGTCTCAAAGACTGGGGCTGTGCTCCCTGGCTCCTCCCTGCTGGCAAGAAACTCCAGTTACCACGCTGACTGTAAGGAGGAAGTCACATACAATGGAATGGCGAAGTCACCACACAGAGCAAGCCTAGGCCACCGGTAGCCACACAACTGCTGAGCCTGCCCACCACCGTTTATGTGCAGACTTCAGGTATATATGAAAACCATGAGAAAGAGGAAAACTTATTTCTTGTAAATACCATGAGTAATTCACATTTTCCCATTTGCAGTGGACTCTAGCCTAATTGAGGGCATCATGCATACTGTTCAAGATATCTGAACAAAACTGTCACTTGTATCCATCCAGCAGAATCATAAAGGATTCAGGTTAGAACAACAACAACAATGTCCCAGCCTTTTTGGTAGTGCCCAGAGAGAAGGATTACATTGTACCATTAGAATCTCAGCTGAAAATGAACCCAGGCTGATGCATAAAATGGGGGCAACCTCAGGGGCAAAAAGACAGGAACAGTCACATCAGTTGGCAAGAAGGGAGCAAACAGCCTGGCCAAGGTAGGCCTAAGAGGCTGGACTCCTGAAGGAGGAAGGCCACGCAAGCTATTAAATAAAACACAGTGTGGATCTTACTGAAAAACTAGGCAAGAGGGAAACTCCAGAAGCTAACAGGAGCTCATGTGCACAGCGCTCGTGATCCATACAAGCTATTTGTAGATATTTTCCACAAATATTTAATGAATAGCTTTTCTCACTGATAACTCTGGCACTGGGCTTAGACATCCGGGCACTGGAGTTAGAGCTGCCTAGATTCCCATCCTAGTCCTGCATTTATGAGCTATAAAAACTGTGTATGTCTGCCTAGGTGCAGTTCCTCCGTTTACAAAATGCAAACTGATATAAAGCACATATGTGAAAGGTTTACACAGAATAAAACTCCACAGAACAGAGCTATGTAAAACATTAGGATGGAAAATATACATAGTTGCTCATAATAGATAATCAAAATTGCAACTAATTGGAATTAGAAATTAGAACAATCTAAGGTGAACCAGGCGAGGACTGGGGAGACAGCAGTCTAAGCACCTGCCTGCTAAGCTCAAGGACCTGAATTCAATCCCCAGTACCACATGCTATACCAGCCCCGAGTCTGAACTGCATAGTGAGACCCTGTATCAAAAAAAAATAAAGTAAAACAATTTTTAAAAAGGGTGGGGAGTAAAATGAACCAGGCAAGGCATGGTGGCACATGCCTGTAATCCCAGCATTGAGGCGGCTGAGACAGGAAGATCACCATGAGTCTGAACTACCTAGTGAGACCCTGCATCAAATAAACACAATTTTAAAAATTCAAAAATAAAATAAATGAACCGGGCCTGGCATGGTGACACAGCCTGTAATCCCAGCACTGGGGAGGCTGAGGCAGGAGGATCATTGCAAGTTCAAGGCTACAAAGTGAGCTCAAGCCCAGCCTGAACTACATAGCGATATCCTGTCTCAAAAAAAAAAAAAAAAAAAAGACACAAATAAATTTAAAAAATTAATCAACTCATTATAAAATCTACCCTTCATTGACCTTAGTGTGTAACAGATAACATCTACAGATAACACAGACCCAAATAAACTCTAATATGTCTCCTTGAGCTCTATTCTCTACCATTTTTCTCTGTTCACTACCCCATCTTCAGCACCCACCAAATAGCACCTCTATTCTCTTGGGCAAGAGGCAAAATTCTACCACTTTCTTTTTTTCAGTAGATCACACCTACAGATCAGAACAGGCTCATACAGGCGCACTGGTTAAGCTTTAGAGTGCAGCTTAAGACTGTGCCTACCTCTGTAGAAGAAGCCTACCTGCCACGAAGTCTATCTTGGACAATTTAGCTTCCAAAGGCTACCATGGCAAAATTGTCTAAAAATTAATTTGCCTTTTGTAGTCAAGAAATTCATATCTAATCAAGCTGACTGAATTTTTTAAAAAATGTAATTCTGAATGAGAAGGTATAAAGTTGCTTCAAAAATCAACCTTGTTCAACAAATGAAACAGAAAGGATGGTCATGAGTCAATTAGAAGACACATGGGAACAGCCTGTGACAACAGGCGTCTGCTGATTAACAGAGGGCATGGATTACTTGTAGTGGCAAGTAACAGAAAAGATGCAGGACTTTAACATGAGACCAGTACCGTCCATCAGCAACGATCTGCAGAATGTTGAGTTAACCACTTATGCGGCTTCCAAATTAATTTTGTAGTTTATTTCAAGCAGTATAAGAACAAAAGTAGCTATTCCACAAGTTTTCCTTAGTGCAAATGCTATAGAATTTTTTCAAGTAAATACATTTTATATCTCTTGGGGCATATATTTTGAACCACCTTAGCCAGAGGTTAAAGTTAGAAGAAAACAAACTCACTTGTCAAACTCATCAAAGAGATCACAACTCTCAAGTTTTGAAAGAGCAAGTCGAAAATACTCCGCTAGAAAACAAATGAAAGACTGTGAATAAAAGGTAGGTAACCACAGCTTATAGTAAGCCACCTTGATCACTCCCCACAAGCCCATCTCCAGGTGGCAGCGCCAGGTTTGATTTTATGTTCACTTCGGCAGCACATATACAAATTTGATTTAATCTGTGAAAAGTTAATGATACGACTGCAATTAGCACATTCAAAATGATAAATGCTCTAAAAACACCTCTAAAAACCCCCAAAGAAAATGCTTACTCTGAAGCCAATCATAAAACAGAAAAACTACCAATATGAAATAATTTTGAAATTGACATAATAATGTTTAAGCAAATTAGACTGTCAAGCCCAGTTATTATTTTAATAATACAAACCAAAACTAAAACAAAAATACCAAAATCAGTTGAAAAAATAAAATCTAATTAATAACACTAGGCCTGTCACCTCTTGAGTTTTTAAGGTTTCTCCAACATCCAGCATGCAAGTTACATAAGGTCAATCACTTCTCAATGAGAGAAGGATGTGTTAAGAGGGATTAATTCTCTCTAAATACAACAAAACTAAATTAAATATTGCTCAAGGAGCTGCGGGGAAGGTAGCTCAGCAGAATAAGAGCTTGCCTGGCAAGCACAAGAGTCTGAGTTCAATCCCCAGTTCCACCAAAAAAAAAGAAGTTGAAGCTCGCTAATGAAATAACATAAGTAAATAGCTGAAATGGAAGATAGGGAAGAAATTCACTGTCAGGCTGAGCAACTGATTGTACACTGCAACAGTAAGGCTCTAGGACTCATTGAAGTCCTAACTGAGCAGAATAAACAAAGACAGTTTCTTAGGACAACAAAATTCTATACTTTTTATTCTTTGACTCTATAATTTGATTCCATTAATTCCCTTCATTACATCTCAAAATTAATATCCCTTATCAATTATCATTAAGGATAAAGATTAAATATTAAATATTAAATTTTTTTCTCATCAAATACAGCTCTCATTTAACATGGGTAAGGATAATACTACTGACCTGATGTTTTTATCCCATAGGGCAAATAAAACTTATTGCTACCATACATGGAAGCAATCTTTTTAAAATCGGCTGTACACAGAAAAGGGTGAAACTGAGGAACCCTGGAAAGAAAGAACACAGAATGATTATATCAAATGCCCACCAAACTGTCAGGCTTTTATGACCACAACTGAGAATAACTGTAGTACATAGATCACACTGCATAATTATTTTAAAATTTTTAAAAAATGGTTTAAATTCTTAAAACTTTATTTAAATTACATACAACTTGATATGCAAGTGAACTTACGTGCTGGAATAGAAACAATTTTTGGTGCTAATAATTTCCAAAATTATCATATATATGAAATGTTAACTATTAAAGCACAATATATTAAAAGTTAGATACCAGTAGAATGCAACTCTTTTCTAATGCCATTAAGTTAAGAATGAAGAAACTTGATGAATCGAGGACAAGCCTGGCTTTTGGGAGTTTTGCCTCATATTTAGTGCCTGGTACAAAGTGTGACAAGCAGCAAATGACTGAATGAATTTCAACTCCAAATCAATTTCTATGAAGTAGAATATGATTAAAGAGAAGTATCCTAAATCCCATCTTAAAATGCTACTTTCCCCCACCAGAAGACTAGCCTCTTGTTACATGCTGCAGGACAGATCCAGCTATCCTTCAAGATGGTCCCCACAGCCCGTCTTTCCTTCCTCTGAAGGCTGGATATCAGATGGGTGTGAGGCCTGCCCAAGGTTCCAGGACAAACCAGAAATAAACAGCAGTTTTGTTATAGCCAAATCTTGGAAACAACCAAAATGTCCATCACTTGAGGAATGAAGGAAAAAAATGTATTTTTATGGCATACTACTCATCTATAAAAACAAACTTGAAGCCTTTATAGGTAAATGGATGTAACAAGAGGCTATACTCATAAGTGAAATAAATAAGACTCACATGTGTATTCTGTAGGGATTTGAAGTTTAACATATCAATACTTGATGGAAAATAACCTGTTCCATGATATGTCTAACATGTTTAATATTCAGACAGATAGTAAGCTTAAGCTCAACTACCTACGTTATAGGGTAATATCATTAAGCTTCTCTTCTGGAGGGTTAACAATATAAGCTTGCAGACCAAAAATTTGAGAAAAAGAAGGGCTGCAAGGACAGCCAATATTTTGGCCATAGCCTTTCAAGGTCAGTGAAGACTCAGGACATAGAGAACCTGTACTGTTAACATGCTGTAACTCAGTGGCATCCCAAATTTTCTGATCAAAGAGATTATGGGGCCACAGAGAAAAGTGATCGATGATATAGAGTATGCGTAAGGAGAGTCACATGAAGAGAAAATGTTCTTTCAGGCTTTCACAGACAGCAAACTGGTCAGGCAATGGCCGTGACTCATCCACATGGCTGACACTGACAAAAGAGCTACAAACTGCAGTATAGAGTTTCAGGGTAAATCCTGAGGGGATCTGACTGACCTTGGAAGATACAAAACTTACATTTTTTGTTATTCAGGTCTTGCTCTATCTTAGTCTTAACCATTCAGAGCAGAAAAGTATAAAAATGAGGTATAAAAAGTAAAGCCATATTAATATTCTGAGCTGTAAAAGGCTCTAGTCAACAACTTCTGACATTGCCAGTCCTATGGGTAACCAAATACTATTATGGACTTCTGGACTATATTGGATTGTTTTGCTGAATTCACACATCTACAATATTTCAATGGCAATGGAATACCCATCTCTGACAAAACTAAACAAAAAAGGGGATACAAATGAAGGACCATGTTGTATCTGTATATACAAAACAGGTAGGATAGATATACAGCTTTTTTCTCTTAATTCAATGAGAAGAAAGATTTGTACTAATAGTGTTTGGACAGGATATCATGTCTGCATCTTGTACTATGAATAGCCACTACAAAGTCAATATGCAATGTATTAATTATTGAAACCATACTATTAATCGGTTTTAAAACTGTCTCATTGCTATTTGTTTCTCAATAAAATTAATTTTTAAAAAAGACCCACATGTGTAAATATCATATTATCTCCCTAGTGTAAGAACCTGAAAGAATAAATAAAACCTGAAAGGTATAATAGAGATAGTAAAATGTGAAGAAACTGAATTTAAGGATTAAACAATGAAGATGAGAGAAAAGACAGGAAAGGAAGGAGGGAAAAACATGCAAGTATATATTCAGGATGGCTGTGATGATTGTACTCATAATTTCTATCAGTTTTTTTGAAAATAGCAGTTAATGTTTAGAATTTTCACCTGACTAACTCTGTATGCTGATATCTGCGATCTGAGCAACTACATCAAGGACAGCAATGTGTAATACAAAACCCATGGTTGAATACCTCTCATCTGGGTCTTCTAAATACATACCATTTCTAGTGTCTTATTAATTATTATACTCTCCTTAAAATAAGTTAAAACCAAAAAAGACAAGGAAAAAAATGAAGATTTCTGGAAAGCAAGCATCAATATTCAATTATTTCCCCAATTTACATAACTATCTCTGTTAATCAGAGCAACAGCTTTGATGATAAAAATACATAATATAACAACCACTGTTAATCAGCTATTCTTGTTTTGAAAACCTGTAACATATGTATTGTATGTTACCCTGTTTCTGGGTGGGGTTTTTTTGGTCTTTTTTTTCTATTTGTCTTTGCTTCTGTTTTTACTCTCCAAAATAAAATGAAGTAAAATTTTTTTAAAAAGGCTTTAAAAAAGGAAATAAATAGCAGTAAAATAAGAGTTAAATAACTCCAGTAGTTTCTTTTGTTGTTGTTGGTTTTTGTTTTTGTCTTTTTAAGATGGATTTTGTTACACAGTTCAGGCTGGTCTTGTGCTCACTTTGTAGCCCACTCTGGCCTCAAACTCATGGCAATCCTCCTGCCTCAGCCTCCCGAGCGCTGGGACTGCAGGTGTGCATTACCACATTTGGCCTAAAATAGTTCCAGTTTTATCCTGGCTTGTTTGCTCATGAGCCACTAAACTTGCAAAAATAACTGAAGTTTAATGTTTGCAGAGGTGAATAATGAAATGATACCACAATGAAGTGAAAGAAATAATGCTCTCCCTGCCCTAAGCATGCTCCCTGTCACAGATTTCAGTTGTGCTAGTGGCAGTAGGTGCAGGTGTCAGACAACCTGAGAAGGTCATTTCTATATCAGTGTTGGTCCCTTAAGTTCAGGATCTGCTTTGGGAAAAGAAATTATCCAGTCACATGTTTCAAGTCTGAGAAAAGACTTCCCAGGAAAATCATAACTGACCACTGCACCAATAAACCACGGTTGTTCTTCGGAGTCAGAAAGACAGATACTGATGATTACTAATGATCAGTGTCTGTTTCCACTTACAGCTTGTCCTTGGTAAATGACATTTTATTTCTGAGTAAAATAATTTGATAAACAAAGCACTATGTCTCAGACATAGCAAGTGGTAAGTATTACTTTATCTGTAATAATTATATTAATTGTATGTATTACAATACAGGATATTGTATGAGAGTATACTGCATAACATTACATTCTGGGATCGTTATTCCTGCAAATGTCTAGTAGAGTGGGTGATGTGAACTACGCTCAGCAGTGGAAAAGCACAAGCTATGAGAAGGAAAGTAACCTGCCTAGCACACAGATGGCAAAGCTGCAATCCCCGGGGGGCAAGCCTAATTCTAAGGGAAGGCATCCTCTTCATGCCATGCCAGGTTTCTGAGCACAACTTCTCCATTGTTCCTGGGTTTCCTCTGTTTCTGAGAAAGAGGCACACTTCAGGGAACAGTCTGCAAAGAATACTGTCTGCACAGCAAGTGTACAAATCTTCATCTTAAACTCCAACAGAACAGTCCCGGGGCACTTCAGTGCCAAGGTCTTGCAGTGGAACAAAATTCATAGACTAAAAGTCAAAGGATGGAAAACAACAAAACAGAGACCCAGAAAAAAGCAGGAATAGCTATTCTATTTGTAGGCAATGTGAACTTCAAGCCCAGACTTACCAAAAGAGACAAAGAAGGTCACTACACACTTGTTAAGAGAAAAATCCAAGAACAGATAACACACACATAGTATATTTGCTTCAAAAAAGAACACATAACAATCATAGGTATATACACACCAAATACTGTTGCACCTAACTACATAAAAAAATTATTAATGGACACAAAAAGTCAAAGGAGCACTAACATGATTGTAATAGGGAACACTAATACCACATTGTTACAAATAGATCAACTAGACTAAAAGTCAACAAAGAAATATCAGAACAGAGCCAAACTGTGAACAGTGGACATACTAGATGTCTACAGAGTGTTCCACCTTACAACATCAGAATGCACATTTCTTTCAGGTACACAAGGGATGTTGTCCAAAACAGACCACACACTACTTCGTAAGTAAGCACAGAGAAACTGAAATTATTTGATGAATATTACCTGACCACAGCACAAAAAAAACAAAAATCAATGGCAAAAGAAACCACAAAAATTATATCAACACATGGAAATTAAATAACAGCCTCCTGAACAACCAATGGGTAACAGATGAAATTAAATAGCATCTACAATTAACTGATAATGTTCATATAACATACCACAACTTATGGGATGCACTGAAAGTGGTACCTAAGAGAGAAATTTATAGTGGTAAATTGTCACATCACAAAAACAGAATGAGTTCAAATAAACAATTTAATTTTGAACCTCAAACTTCAAGAAAAAGAACAAATCAAACCCCAAGCTTGGGTATGAAGGAGAAAATTATAAAAGTAGGAGGAGAAATTAATGCAATTGAGACTAATAAGACAATACAAAGAATCAATGAAGAGTTGGTTCTTTAAAAGATTAAATAAAATTGATAAACCCTCAAGTCAACCTTTTCAAAAAGAGGAAATAAGACTTCAAATGCATGCAATTAGAAAGGAAAAGGGTGAAATCACAACATCCTGCAGAAATCCAGAAGATAATCAACACCTATTTTAAAAATTTGTAGGGGCCGGGGAGATGGCTCCGTGGAATATGCGCTTCCCTGGCAAGTGTAAGGGCCTCAGTTCAATCCCCGGTTCCACCAAAAAAATAAATAAATAAATAAAATTTGTACTATACTAAGATGGAAAATACAGAAGTAGACAGATTGCTAGCTACATATGAATTGCCAAAACTGATGAAGAACATACAAAAATTCTAAATAACCCAATATTAGTCAATGAAATTGAAGATGTGATTAAAAACCCACCAACAGGGACAGGGAGATAGCTCAGCGGCATAAGTGCCTGCCTGGCAAGTGCCAAGTCCTGAGTTCAATCCCCAGTACCAGGAAAAAAAAAAAAAAAAATCCAGGTCCTGATGCATTTACCGCTGAATTTTATAAGAAATTTACAGAGGATTTAATGTCACTACTACTAAAACTCTTTAATAAAACTGAAAGAGATGCAATACTTCCAAAACATTTCTGGAAGCAAGGACTACCCTGATACCCAAACAAACAGACAGGCATAAAATCTCAATAAGATACTGGCAAACAGAACACAGCAAATCATTAAGAAGATTATACATCATGACTAAGTAGCATCATCCCAAGGATACAGGGATAGTTCAACGTACACAAATCAATAAATATACCATATCAACAGAGCCAAAGACAAAAATCATATACTCATCTCAATGAAGAGAGAAAAAGCATTTGACAAAAACCAACACCCTCCATGATAAAAACACTACAGAAAATGAAAGTTCACTAGCAACACTTAGACTCAATATAGTTCTGAAAACATTAGCCAAAGCAATTAGACAAGAATGACAAAAGGAATAAGGATAGAAAAGGAAGAATTTTATTATCGTTTTTCATAGATGACATGATGCCGTACATAAAACCCTGCAAACTCCATGCAAAGCCTCATAGATTTAATAACCAAATTCAGTAGCATGGCTAGTTGCAATGTCACACTCAAAAGCCTATAGCATTTGAGTACACAACAACAAACTCACACAGAAATGAGGGAAGCCACACAGTTCATAATAGCACCCCCCAAAAAAAAACCAGACTTAATAATCAATTTAACAAAGGACTTAAACAATCTATATATTGAAAATTATAGTACTCTGAAAAGGAAATGGAAGAGGATTATCAGAAAGTGGCAAATTATCTCTTGCTTATGGGTAGGAAGAAACAACATAGTGAAAATGGCCATATTACCAAAACAGTTATACAGACTTAATTCAGTATCAATAAAACTACCATTAGCATCCCTCACAGCACTAAAGAAAGCATTCCTAAAATTCATTTGGAACAGAAGAGACAGACAATAGCAAAAACAATTCTTGGTAAAATAGGCAAGGCAAGGGGCACCACAATCCCTGACTTGAAATTGTACTACAAAGTTAGTGTGATAAAACCAGTATGATACTGGCAAAAACAGACTTGAGGATCCATGGAACAATTTAGAAGATGCAGACACAACTACAAACATACTCAGCCACCTTATCTTGGAAAAAGAGCCAAAGATGTTCACTGGAAAAGCCTCTTTAATAAATGGTGCTGGACAAACTGTCTTTTGACATAGTAAAAATTAAAACTAGATCCATGTCTACAACTATGCACTACATTAAAATGCAAATAGATCAAAGATCTAAATATTAAAACAGAAACATTAAATCTGCTGGAAGAATCAGTAGTAGTCCTGAAGACACGGGTATAGACAAAGATTTCATGAAGAAAATCCTGTCACACAGAGAAATACTACAAGCAATCAAAAACTGAGACCTCATCCTATTAAAAAAAAACAAAAAACTTTCAGACAGCAACAGAAATGACCAATGGATGGAAAAGATAATCCACAGAGTGGGACAATTTTCTGCCAGTTGTCCCTCAGACAAAAGACTACAACACATAAACAACTGAAAAAAATTAGACTCCCAAACTTGAAATTTTAATCCAAAAATGGGCATCTGAAATGAATATACATTTCTCAGAAGGACAAATGATACAGAAATGTATGACAAAATTTTCAAAATCAGTCGTTTTCATCAAGAGATGAAAACTAAAACAACAACTGATATTTTATCTCACCCCCCAAAACAATGGCTATTATCAAGATAACAACAAATAATAAATGCTGGTGGGGCTGTGGGGAAAAAAGGAACCCTTCCCCACTCTTGGTGGGAGTGTAGACTGATGGAACCACTGTGGAAATCAGTGTTCCTCAAAGAAGTAGGATTAGAGATTCCAATTGAGCCAGATATTCCCTTTCTAGGTGACTTCTCAGAAGAATTAAAAAACATCATACCACAGCAATATATTTGCAACCATACTTCTAGTAGCACAATTTGTAACAGGTAACTCTTATAAACAATCCAAATGTCCACCAACCAAGAAATGGATAGGAAAGATGATTTTATTTTATACAATGAAATAGAACTCAGCCATAAAGAAGGACAAACTTGAGATACTGCTAGGTAAGTGAACATACCTCGACACCATACTCCTAAGTGAAATAAATCAGACACACGTGTCAGTATCACACTGTCTCCCTGGTATGAGAAAATGAAAGAGTAAATAAATACTAGACTGTATAATAGGTATTGTGAAATAGGGGGCAAGCATTCAACAGAAAAAGGGACTAGGGAGGGGGGAGGGAGAAAGTAAGAAAGGAAAAAGAAAAAAAGTTTTAAAAAGGATAAAATAGCCTCTTTCAGTTCCTCTTTTCCAAGATGACAAAAAAAAGAAGGAACAACAGTCATGCCAAAAAGGGCCGCGGTCATGTGCAGCCTATTCGCTGCACGAACTGCACCCGGTGTACCCAACGATAAGGCTATTAAGAAGCTTGTCATTCGGAACATAGTGGAGGCCGCCGCCCTCAGGGACATTTCCAAAGCGAGTGTCTTCGGCGGTTATGTGCTTCCCAAGCTGTATGTGAAGCTGCATTATTGTGTGAGTTGTGCTATTCACAGCAAAGTGGTCAGAAATCGATCTCGTGAAGCCCGTAAGGACCGAACTCCTCCACCCCGATTTAGACCTGCTGGTGCTGCCCCACAACCTCCACCAAAGCCCATGGAAGGGGAGCTGGGTCTTACTGGACTGAAGAAAACTCTCTTGAGAAAGAAATAATAAATTGAATGTTATACTTTAAAAAAAAAAAAAAGGATAAAATAGAGGCAAAGCTTTGTAAATAAAGCAGGAAAGAAGGGTTGAAGAGAGGGAAGAGAATTAGGAAAAAAACAAGAATTAAGATAGATCATACAGAGGTACACATTCCCTATGATGAATATGATCCTTAGGTATATCTAAATTGTGCCAGTAAACTTAAAGAATTTGTAGGCATACATACTTGACAATCACTCTTACATAAATAAATACCTATATACCTTTCTGGGTTTTCTCAGAAAGAAAAATATTTTTGCACTGAAGCTATAAGAGTACCTTTATTCTAGAGTAGCATTTTAAGCTGTCACCCACAACCTATGTGTGGCTTATGCAATCAATTGTGTGAATCATGACCAGTATATTGTTTAAATGTGAGTAGAACTAAACATAGTACATAGAGAGCAGTAATGGTAAACTTTTTTCTTATTGTAACTCCTGTATACGATATTCCAAAGTACAATTTATTTATTAGCATATGAATCCTGATTTCAAAACAAACTTAAAAGTTTTTCTTCTAGTTCTGCAGTGCTCCTAGGACACATCGCTATGGGTAGACTACAAATAGCCACATGGTCACATGCATAATGATGTAACTGCAATTATCTAGGCAGCTGACAGATTTTATAGGAATCTGTATCCCCAAAAGGTTAAGAACTTGTAATGGAAAAATACAGCCATGTAATAAATTATGAATTCTGATTGGTTAATGAAAGGAACAGTTAGAAAATTTATACTTTTCTACACAATTGACATGTCTAGACCAGATGGACGTTTATTTCTTGATATCTAAAAGAATTTTTATCAGTAGTTGGTCAAAATTGAGGTAAAAAGAAAAAGAATATTTATAGATAGAAAAATCATTTACAAGTCCTCACAATCACAATGAATAGTCACCATATAGTATACACAGACTAATTATTACTTGCAATCTACGTAGTTTACCACCAGTCAAAATCAGAGAAAATTTCTAATGACAAGGTTAAATCCAGAGCCAATGAAAACTAAATCATACAGTAATAAGACTGAAAAAGAGCACAGGATCAGGAAATGATAAAACCCCAAAGAACAGCTTTTTTATAATCAATACAAATAAGACCTTGCTAATATCACCTATGTGAAAAGAATAATGGTTAATGGTTGAAATCCGTTCTCCTATGCCTTTTCTTAAAATAGATGCAGAGCAACTACTAACAGCATAAAAAGAGGTAAGATAATCAAGCTCTGTTTTTAAAGTGAGGAGTTTGTTTTATGCTGCTAAGATTTGTATGAACAAGGCAAATGGGGAAGATGATCAGAAACATACTTTAGATGTTTTGTATGCCCCAATTTGTTGGGTATATTTTTACCTTAGGAGAGAGGCAAAAGCTGGCTTTGATAAACAGGGCTGGATCTTATTTCTCTGCTTCATTTCCAGAGGTGGTACCCTAGGAGACAAAAATAGTGTCAGTCAGAAACCAGACCGGGAAGCCTGCCCAAAGGGAAGCAAATGCCCTGGGAACCTACTCCACGTTGCCACTACCAGGCCGCCCAGGCAAAGAACAAAACTCCTCACTGTGTCCCTAAGATATGACAGGACCTTCTCCGAGTTCTACACACTTGCGGATTTGTGAGTATAAAGCAAGGAGAGTGAAAAAGCCAACTTTCTATGGGCTAGAAATTCAAAGAACCCTTGGAGAAGGGTAGGGATGCTGTACTATAGAATTAAAAAGCCAGGCTCCAATTTAACCAGGCTCCTTGAAAAGTTGAGAAAACAACCATACCCTAAATGCAAATCATAGGTGGTTAGAGGCATGCCTGAGGACATGCCAAACACCACAGAAATACCAAACACAAGCAGATTCAACAGACCTATGCTTTGTAATGCTGAGGGCTCCCCAATCACACCATTTAGTCTTACCTAACTCTCCCCTATTTGTGGCACAGATTAAGCCCTTGCGTGACTCTTGAAGGCATTACCTGCCTCCACGAAGTATTGTGAAACATAACAGCCCAAGAACGAAAACAAATGAAGGAGGTGGGGAAGACAGGACCCACAGTTAGGAAAGAGGAGAAGAGCTTACTATGAGATCTTTTTGATGATAATCAATTCTGTAAATACTAATATTTTTTAAGGCTTACTCAATATTACTTCTATAATCATCAGGGTTCAAAATGCAAGAAAAAGACTGAACTCTTTATAATCAGACACTTTTTTAACCTCAAATACTGAATTATATTTAGAGGACAAAATGAGATATATTATTTAATTTTAGGATGCTGAGGAGACAAACTGTGGATGACTTTTAAAGCAAAGACAAGTATCTGTCATAAACAGTTTAAGGAATCAAGCTCACAGTACAAACACTGACATGAGGTAATTTCCTAGGGAACCTTCTATGAATGAAGCAACCTGTTAACTCTAGTTGGGCATTCCCCAAATTCTGATGACAAATGACTGTTGCATTCAGATCCACTTTAGTATCACTTTAAAATTATTTCTCCCAAAAGCATTCTCTCAGGCTTTCACAGAGAGCAAATTGGTCAAGCAATGGCCATGACTCATCTACGTGGCTGACACCAACAAGGGATCTACAAAGTGTGGTACAGGGTTACAGGATAAATCCTGAGGGTACTTGACTGACCTTATCAGATACAAAGTTACATTTCTTGTTATAAAGGTTTTGCTTTATCTTGGTCTTAACCATCCAGCAGAAAAGTATAAAAACGAGGTATATAAAGTCAAGTCATATTAATATGCTGAGCTGTAAAAGGCTCAAGTCAACAACTTCTGCGGAAAACCCACTATTATTGTGGACTGCTGGACTGTGTTGGATTGTTTGGCTGAATTCACACACCTACAGTATTTAGATGCCAATGGAATACTCATTTCGGACAGGACTAAACAAAAAAGGGGATACAAAGAAGGACCATTTTGTATTTCTATATACAGAATAGTTAGGATAGATATACAGCTACTTTCACTAAATTCAATAAGAAAGATTTGTATTGGACAGGATATCCTGTCTGCTTCTTGTACTACAGATAACCACTAAGAAGATAACAATGTACAAGGTATTAATTATTGAAACTGTCCTATTAATCAGCTTTAAAAAAAAAAAAAAGTATACACATCAGACAAAAGAACTAAATTCCAGGTTCATTTAGTTGAAGAAAGACAAAATGGCCCCATGTTTCTGTAGTTCTCAAATATCATTGTTGTTTTAATGCTCAGAGTAATCATTGGCATTTTTAATGATGGCCATGAGTTATCAAGGGATTGATTAAATGATTTGCTTAATGACAACAAAAAAATTTTTAAAAATCACTTCTCCTGTGACAAACAGTAGGAGCTACATAATAACACAGCAATCTAGTAAACTTTTTGTTTTTGTGTCTGTCTCCCACCGCTAAATGGAGGGACAGATCCCTGTGAGACAATACTTCTAATACTCACTGGATGTGTAATCAGACTTCAAAGTTCCCTAGCACAATATTTAGGTCCGAATCGTCAAACTTTAGACTCAAACCTAACCATTCACTTGGTATTAGTTTGTTTTATGCAGTTGGTACAGGGTCTCACTATGCAGCTTGGACTTGTAGTAATCCTCCTGTTTTCAGCCTCTCCAGTGCTGGGATTACAGGTGTACACCACCACGCCCAGTCTCCGTGGCTGGCTCAGCGCAATAGGGGACAGGGCAGGCACAGTGTATGATACTGGGGATCAAGCCCCGGTCCCTCTATTGACTAAACAGGTGCTTAGTCCGCTAAGCTATCTCGCCAGCTCCATGGTATTTTTTTTTTTCGTGGTACCAATTTAGTTTTCTTCCATGAAAAGCATTATAAACTTTAATGATAAAATTAAATACAGAAGAATACATTTTTTTTTTATCTGTGTAAGCCAGAAACATAATCTAAGATCTGCTACTGCAACTGACATAGAATACTGACCTTTTTGTAAGACAGCTGTCATGTGATTTACTTTGATTTAATTTTATGTTGCCATCCCCTTAGCCTTTAAAGGTCATCAAACCTATTCCTAGCCAAAGGACTGAAAATGTGAAGGAAGCTTTCAAAAAATTATTTATAGAGGATTTCTCTACAGTAAAATTATCTGTGCCTCTTCCAAGTTTTACCAGTGGTATTCTAAATCAGAGCTATTTTTAACAAGGCATATATCAATCACCAGATCTGTTAAACTTAGGAAACTACTCTGTTGTATGTGTATTTTTACCAACATTCTCTTATCCATGCACGTTAGGCTCTAAAAGTTCAACACCACTGAGTCCAAGAATGATTCTATTAACTCAGGGAGACAAACTAATACAGCAAGTCCCTGACTTACAAAGGAGTGCTTTCTGCGAGAATGTTCACAAGTCAGATTCAGTCCTAAGCTTCATACCTTTAACAAAAATGGATAGTGCGCTGCTTTGTGCTTCCCAGCGGTCCCTCACATCACCACTACTTTTCCTCCCGCCTCCAGACATCCGGGGCCCTGACCGATCACTGCGCTGCAGTATGCCACAGCGCACGGTACGCACACTGCACGGACGGTGCACGGCAGACCTGTGAGCTGCTTCTGCAGTTTGTTCACATCTAGAAATGTTTACAGTGCCGGAGCCATTCATATCTGTCAAGGTGTACAACTCGAGTGTTCGTAAGTCAGGGACTTACGGTATGGAAATAAAGACTGTTATGTCCCAATGACGTTCAGCATTACTACTTCACTGAGTAGCAAATAAAGACCAGGGTCACTTACCAGTTTTTAAACTGTTCAGAGATACAGCTGGGTATGCCTGTGGCTCGTGCAGGTGATGCAAGCCTATAATCCCAGCTACTCCGAAGACTGAGTATAGAGGATACTAAATTTGGGGCCAGCTTGTGTAACTTAACAAGACGCTGCACCAAAAATAAATAAAAGTTCTGGTGGGGGGATATATATAACTCAGGAGACCACTTGCCCAGCATGCATGAAGCTTCGGGTTCAATTCCCAAAACCGCCAGAGATTAAAAACAAATAATTTGTTGGTGATACAATCTATAGGATGCTGGAATGTGAGGACTCCAATTTATAACAGAAAACTAGAACAGATTTCAAATGTTACAGTGTTTCAAGGTTTTGTTTTTTTATATAGGTCCTTCTAATATCATTTCTGTATATACGAAAGAATAGAGTGGGGATTATGGTTAAGTAGTGAAAACGAAACTTACCAATAAACATTTGTTCCCCATAATATACAGTGCAGCACGTAATAGAGGAAGACAGCACTGAGGAATATGGCCACAAGGTAGCCTCTCATGGCTAGCCCACCTGCAACACAAGGAGGGAAGTCCAAAGAAAGGGGAAGATTATCACACTGATAGAGCTTCAAAGTGAATTAAGTATGTATGAACTATAACAAATAAACATACAAGTCTGGCTAGACACACTGTCAGATAATCTAATATTGCCTTCCTTTTAATGGCAAATAAATTCAAAGAGAAAACTTAGGCCACACCCATACCTTCTGAAGTGGAATAAACTAAACAAAATTAAAGCTTTTCTTGATCATCTAGGGTCATCTTAGCAAACAGCACGACTGTGCGGTGCTTCTTGGAGCCATGTGCTAGGCAGCCTACACTGCAGTGACCTTCTGGTCTCTCTGCTCTCACTGTCAGCAGCTGCCCTGAGTAGTCCCACTCCCAGATGTCACTACAGTAAATCAGTTAGGAATGAAGGCTATGTTAAGAGAAAACACATAAACAAGCAAGTTAAATGAGAAAGCCTTAGTCTGCGCATACTGCCACTTTAGTACTTGTAATTCCCACCGAGAGTCAGCACTGGTTGGTACTCAGAAGGCCTGATTCACAGCCCAAACCTGCATGAGGCTTGGGGGGAGAGTGCTTAGGTCCATCAATTCTCTTTCTTCAAGCCTAAGTGCCCTCACATGCTTACAACTGAGCGCACACCCTGTGCATTACTGGGTAACTACGCTGTCATGGAAAGCAATTTGCAATTGGCCAAAACAGTCCCCGGACAGCTTGCTGAAGCACTCAAAATGAACATTTAAGTTTCCACTAAGAATAACATAATTTATGCAAATATCAAACAAGGATGCAAGTTACCATTGCCAGCTAATTTTTTAGACATATATCTTCATCTCAGACAAAATCATGTAAAAGGCTAAGATCTTTATTTGCACCTAAGTGTGGAAAGCCCTACTGAAAGAGGTCAGTTATTTGTAACTCAATTTGTTTCTCTACCTCCAAAACATACTCCTTGGGCAATCTGCGATCTTATAGAACAGAGTTATGGGTGACATTTTGTTGATTTTCATTTATTAATACGTAAAGAAAGCAAAAAAGTATGTGAGAACATTATTCCTTCAAAAAACAAAATGACTGCCTACAACAACAGAGAAATATTTAGGAAGCTGCGCCTCTCTAGCCACAATCAAAGCTTTGATAT